AACGTGCCACATCTGCCGTGGATGATTATGCACGAGAGACTGTACATAAGTGTCAAAAGAAAATGAAACGCTACACTGATTTAAAACGTAGTGCACAGGCACCTTCTTTTCGACCTGGTGAAAAAGTGAGGGTAAGGAAACCGCAACATGTTCCGAAAGCACACCCAAGATTCACTTCTCCAGAGACTGTTGAGAGAAATGTTGGTACACATTCATTTTTGCTCAGTGACGGAAGAGTCTGGAACGCAACTCACCTTGCTCCCTGCCCAACTAACCCAACTTAAAAGTACAAGAATGTACTTTTTCTACAAGAGAGGAAATGTTGTGTTCTATGCTTATGCCACTAGAGGGCGCAGTTACACGGTTCAGGTAATGCACAGCTGAAGGAGCGTGAGTTTAAAAAATATGCGTTGATGTACACTGTTGCTGGCTGTAAACTGCTCTCCTGTTTTATTACTTGCATAAAGTGGAACTGACTTAAGTATGGGCTTCTTCTTCATACACCATACACCACACACTCAAAGCTGCGTTATGAACAATAAATAACGCATGTTAAAGTGTTTAAAGGACAACTCACCCTCAAATCCATCCTTTTTTTTGCTGATAAACAGTATAAATGAGTGTCTGATAGTGTTGTGTACATATCCTGGTCATATTTTTGTCACTTTAGTGCAAAGTAGTTGAAAGATCAACTTTCTGCCTAAAACCGTCAGTGAGGCGCGATCTGCAGGCGAATCTGGCACCAACATTGGGGCAGCAGTGGCCACTTTCGTCTGCAGTGGCTCCTTACGTCAGTTGCCCTGCCGCCCTGAGGTATATAAATGGCCCAGTCTCGTTCACGCCCTCGTAGCGAGTTGGAGAAGGAATAACAGAGTATTTTCATCGATTGTCAGGTTTGCGATTAGTTATAGCATTTAGGTAGATTTTATTAGCGTAGCTGTTTGTATTGTAGATAATTGTGTAGTGTTAATAGCGTTGTTGTTGAATATTGTAGTATAGTCATTAGTTAGTTGCTTTTATTGTTAGATTAGTTAGCTGAATTTAGCTTTGGACTTTTGTTAGTATTACTAGTTCTATATTGTGTGCAATTTCATTGTATATTGTTTATTGTACTTGTGTACAATAAATACTACTTTATGTTTGAGCGTGTGTTAAATTACTGTCTCTTTTCAGAATCAGAATCAGAATCATTTTTATTGCCACGTAAGTAACAGGAAGTCACAGACTTGGAAATTGTGTGCAACAGTCAGAAAGAGATAATAAAAAATAAAGAATAAAAAACACTTTGTGCACTCGTATATTTACAATATACGAGTGCACATGGTGCACACAATGGGCCTCATGTATGAAAGTTGCGTAGAAAAGGGTGTATATTTTTTGTGTATATATTCCATTTGCGCAAGATCCGATGTGGCATTTATGAACTGTGAGATACGCACAGATCTGAGCGTACGCACCTGCGGCTGTTGATAAATGCCGCGCTCGAAACTAGCGTATTTATGAAAGTCACGCCTAGAAATATTCAGAAACTGCCTGTTCCACGCCCTGTTTTTGCGACAGGTCAGCAGGAAGTCGGCTAGGAAGGGATTGGAGGCCTCAAAAAGCACACACTTCTGAGATTATTCACGTTTAAAAATATATATATATATACGTGTTTTTCCCTAGTGTCTAGACCCACTGCAGCACTCATCTCTCCTGAAATTTAGAAGTAAATAAATAAATAATAAATGAATGAATGAATGAACCAGTTCCCACATGCGCGTTGTATCCTATCTCTGCTATGCGGAGAACAGTGCAGTGGATGAGCAGTTTTGAGCAAGATCAATTGCGTTTATGGGGCTTTATGCACAAAACTAAGGAAAACCCACATTGCTTTTCCAGAGGTGAATGAGGCAAAACATATGCGTAATTACGGCGCAGGGTCTGGTTAGTGAGTAAACAGCTAAGGAAAAGGAGCAGGAGATTGAGACCATTATGAACGAAGTGGGAAAAAGAATTAAGTCTTACTATTTGGAATTCTCAAAAGTGGCATCAAGGGGCTCAAAAAACAATATATGGAAAGGAATGACAGCCTCTGTAAACAGCGCGGGGCCTGCAACACGCACTCCTGAAGAGGTGAGTTTATTCATGTTCGAAGAAAAATACGCAATATTATATCAAAAAGTTGATATATTGGGCCATTATTTTAAAATGGTTGAATATTCCTGTCTGAGCTGTACAGGCTGAAGGCGGTGCTGGCCATGGTCTCTCATCCATGGGCTGCTCCACCAGTAGCCCACTGTGGTCCTGTGCCTGTTGTGGAGAACCGAGCCAGGACCATGTGGCACACTTGTACCGGGAGGTACCAGAGCGTACCCCCTACATGTCCCAGAGCCTGATCAGACCCACGCAGCGCTCCACGGTGGCGCGCGTCTTTGCTTGGACCTGCACTCGTTGCTTCCTGTCTGTCAGGAAGTCAGTGATCCACCTGCAGGTGGAATCGAGCACGTTGAGCTGGGAGAGCTTGTCCTGGAGCAGGGATGGCATGATGGTGTTGAAGGCACAGCTGAAGTCCACGAACAGGACCCTGGCGTAGGTCCCCGGGGAGTCCAGGTGCTGTAGGATTTGGTGGAGGGCCAGGTTAATGGCGTCGTCTACAGATCTGTTGGCTCTGTAGGCGAACTGCAGGGGGTCCAGGAGGGGGGAGGTGAAGGACTTGAGATGAGAGAGGAACAGGCGTTCAAATGACTTCATGACAACAGACGTCAGTGCCACAGGTCTGTAGTCATTGAGTCCTGTGATCCTGGGCTTCTTCGGGACGGGGACAATGATGGAGGATTTTTAGCAGGCCGGGACATGGCAGGACTGCAGAGAGGAGTTGAAAATGTCAGTGAACATAGGAGTAAGCTCACTGGCGTAGTGTCACAGAGTGGCCGGAGACACGTGGTCCGGGCCAGGAGCTTTGCGGGGGTGCAGCCTCAAGAAGAGTTGTTTGATGTCTTTAGAGGCTATTGTTAGGGTGGGGGAGGTGTCAGGGGCAGCATTAAAGCGACTGATAAAAAGGTTCAGGTCGTCAGCACAGAGGGGGGTTTTGGGCTTGTAGTTGGTGATCTCCCATAGGCCCCTCCAGACAGAAGCAGTATCGTTGTTACAAAACTGCTCCTGAACCCCTCCTGTGCCCCCTCTCTGAAAGCAGACTCCTTTGCTTTCCTGAGCTGCCGGAGTTTAGCAGTGAACCAGGGTTTGTCGTTGTTATAGATGACCCTGGTCCTTGTTGGAATTATGCTATCCTCGCAGAAGTGAATGTATGACGTCACAGTGTCCGTGTAGTCATCCAAACTATCTGTGGCAGCTCTGAAAAGGTCCCAGTCTGTAGATTCCATGCATGCGCGCAGCTCTTCCACAGCTTCATCAGACCACACTTTGGAGCTCCTCACTACAGGTTTCGAGACCTCTAGTCTCTGTCTGTAAGCAGGGATCAGATGTATCATGGAGTGATCTGAGAAGCCGAGGGCTGCTCGGGGAACAGCGCGAAAAGCTCCGCGCACGGTGGTGTAGCAGTGATCAAGAGTGTTCTCCTCTCTGGTCGGGCATTTCATAAACTGTCTGTATTTGGGTAATTCCTGGCTCAAGTTTCCCTTATTAAAATCCCCCAGGATAATAATAAGAGAGTCCGGGTATAAACATTCCATACACAGTACTTGCTCTGCGAGTGCGCGCTGAGCCTCGCTAAAACATGAACTCAATCAGCCGCAGATGCCAAGAAAACAGGCGATAGGTCCACGGGAACAGTGGGTCGTATGTTCATAAGTTCCTCACGGGTGTAGGAACAGTCAGATGCGCACTTAAAAAGTAAAAACAAAAGAAAAAGAGAGCAGCAAAGAGCCGTGGCGACCAAAAGAGGCGCCATCTTGTAAGATTTTTTTTTTTTGTGCACATTGGGGTATCATTTCTATCCAAAATGCCTTTGGGGACAAGGAGGTGCAGTGGCCGCAGGTTATTGTGGCAGAGTTTAGAATTTTATAACTATATGACCCTCACAACATATAGTTTATCTTGGTCTGGGTTCATATATAAAATGTACAGACAAAACTGGCAAGAAAAGCATAAGCGGTTGCAGGAAGGGAATGTGGAGAGAGAGACAGAGAGAGAGACTGTTATTTACGCAGAAGTGGTGCGTGCATAGGGCTCTAAAGCGCTCCATAAAAAAAGATTGATTGATATATAGATATAGATATATATATAGAGAGAGATATCTATATATTATATATATATATATATATATATATATATATATATATATATATATATATTATATATATATATATATATATATATATATATATATATATATATATATATATATATATATATATATATATATATATATATATATATATATATATATATATATATATATATATTATATATATCTATCTATATATCTCTATCTATATATTATATATATATATATATATAATATATATATATATATATAATTAGTTATATCATAGTGTTTATACAGGCTTCTATCATATATTAGTGTATGACTGTTCATTTCACCTGAAAGTCAAATGTCCCTAACTTTTGTATGTACACAACATTGTGTGTTTTGCAAAAATACCTATCATACATTACATAATAATATATAAGAATATTATATTACTGTTAAACCCACTATGAATAATAATAGACGCCAAACCACGTGTCCTGTATCATGTGTGACGTTTACAGTAAAGAAAAAAGTGTGAAAATCGATGAAGTAGTCAGTGAGTTATGAATGATTAAATGCGTCACTGCGCCTGCTAAACGGATTTCTCTGAGAGGAGCGGGCGACCGGTCCAAGATGGCGGCGCCACGGCTCGTTGGCGCCAATAGACAGTAGCGGTAGATGCGGCGTCTACTCTTGGCACAACGCTGGCAGCACTGTTGGGGATGACATATGTATCTACGCCCCGCCCCACTATCCTTCCTGGTTGCGGAAGTGTTTTTTTATTTATTTTTATTACAAATACAACACAATGTGCAACGGCTGCGTGCACAAACAGTATCCAGACAGGGTGAGGACATAGGGAAATAAATGTGTTTGTTGTTTTATATATAGTCACGTCACATCATTCGAAGTGGATTGGCTACTCGAATGATGAGGCTACTTTGGCTTAGGTTAGTTAAAGAAATTCCATGTGCTGAGATATTGATTAAATGTAATTTGTGATACGAATATGTTTAGTTGCAATGTGGAGATTTCTTAAATGTATCGTGTACTGCTTAGCCTCCTATAATGTCAAGCCACCTTTATTACGTAGATTTACGAAAGTAAACAGATATCTGGGAGGTCATCCTGAACGATTCACCAATGTGTTGAGTGATTCAAACAGGCAACATTCGTTTTATTTTCCCCTTTTAATAGAAACGTAAGCAAGGCCTACTTTACGCTACACCTAAAGATTCTCAGAACTAATGCACGTTCTACTTAAAAGTCATCCTTTGCCTTTCAGTGTATTTTGCACAAATATAACTATTGGTTATACATTATGTAGCGTCCAGTTGAGTGTGTCCTTCCATATAGTCATTAAACCAACGTAAGAGCTAGAACAGAAATAAGAAATCACCTTACAATTATGTTTATTTTTCTATCTATTATTACTTACATTGTTAACATTTATATTACAATTACTATTATTTTACACATTAAACAAACTTTACAATTGTTACAAAGAAAACCATACCTTGTTCCCTCTATCTCAACAGTGGCTACACTTTGTTTTGGTGTCTTTTTTACATGTTAGTGCTGTTTCCTATTTAGTAGTAAGTAAGTAAGTAAGTAATCATTTATATACCGCCTTTTCACTGCAGATCTGAGTCTCAAAACGGTTTACAATTGTTAATTTTTGGGCATTTGTCCACTCACTCCACACAGAGATTGGAGCGGGGTCGCCAGTACAGGTGGCGCATGCCAGACCTATTGTACATATTTTTAGCGGTAGGGGAAACCGGAGTACCCGGAGGAAACCTACGCAGACACACGGAGAACATGCAAACTCCACTCAGAAAGGCCCTGGTCCGACCGGGATTTGAACCCAGGACCTTCTTGCTGAGAGGCGAGAGTGCTATCCACTCAGCCACCGACCTTTTGTCTAGACTGGCTGTTTGTCTGTAACGTCCATAGACTGTCTCTACGTCTGATGTTGCGCAAGCCACTTACGGTTGCGAGACAGGAAGTGTAATAATAAAACATTTTCTATTATTAAATCAACCTTTACACATTACAAGTTACAATCAAAGTAACTCTGTAATTTAACTGTTGGCCATACAATTGTTAAATTGTATTATAATTTCCCAGTTGACTTCCTGTTACTCACATTCTGAATTTTAGATTAACATGGTCACTATTTGAGGACAGTTGCTGGATGTGTGGTTGTGTCCAGGGCAGCACATGTCTGGAGGATGGCTCCTATCTGCTGAACTACCAGGGTTGTGTCAGCTGTCACCACCGAGACTTTGTCCTCATCACCGACCGGAGGCATGAGGACGAGGCTGGAGAGGAGGTTGTCACATACCAGCGTGAGCTACACACATCTGCTCCACATTGTTCTTGTGTGGGTTACAACCCTCACACTCATATCACATAATCTTTGTGTGTAATCTTCTGCTTCTTCTTTAGACGTCTGCAAAAACTGTGAGCACGTGATTGCGCGGCACGAGTACACCTTCTCTGTGGTGGACGAGTATCAGGTGTGGTGTTTCTTTCTGAGGGTGGGCTCTCTCTGGGTGGCCATTCGTCCTGGAGGCTCTCTCTGGCCCTGTATTTTGACTGTGTTCTTGTTCAGGAGTACTCCATGCTGTGTCTGCTGTGTGGGAAAGCGGAGGATTCCATCAGCATACTCCCAAACGACCCCCGACAGTCTTCTCTGTTTTAAAGCCACTGCTCTCGGCTTTAAACCCAAAAAAGTATATGAGGAAGACTTGTATGCATTTACTTAAGCCTGCTCTGTTTGTACAAAAAAAGTTTACGGTTAGAAGTGCGGTTTAAAAAATTTAAGGGGAAACCTTGTAGAAGGGGTAAAATGAGACAATTATGGATTACAAAAGACAAGCAGCACTGAAAGTGCATGTGTCAGTAAAATGACTAGACCATCTCAACAGAACACTGGATCACGTACAAAATCATTTGTTCCTTATCCCATTATAAAATGTTTCCTGAAAATATTGTCGAACTCCACCTTTGAGTTATGACGTAATCAGCATGGTTTGTCTGTCTGTTAGTTTGCAATAATGTCTTGGTGAGGAAATATCACCTGTCTTTATATTAAACTGAACCTCAGTCGTGGAATTTGTGTCTAGTTTTATAATCTTCACCTGCAACAGAGAACAGTTTGCTTTTATTGGCCCTCATTTATGAAACTTGCGCAGAAAAGGGTGTATATTTTGGGTATACATTCCAATTATGCAAGATCCAACGCAGGATTCACGAACAGGCAAGATCCGCTCAGATCTGAGTGCACGCACAGCGGCTGAACAAAAAACGTATTTATCAAAGTCACGCCTAGAAATATGCAGCAACTGCCTGTTTCACGCCCCATTTTTACAACAATTGAGAGGAAACGGCCAAGAAAAAAACTTCACAGAGCAGGAGATTGAGACCGTTATGAACAAAGTAGACAAAAAATCTTACTATTTGGAGGCGACAATTTAGTTGGTAGAAATTGGCCTTTGGGCCTGAAGATTGTGGGTTTGAGCCCACCACAAGACCTACTTCACAACTCCCACTGATGTCTGCTGTTTTTGTGTCCTTGTGCAAGACACTTAACCCCAATTTGCCTGAAGCCCCTACTGAAAGATCAAGGCTCCTGCGGTCTCACCACCTGCAGGAGGAACAGTGAGGGGCTGGTGCTATGTGTACTGGGTGCGGCTCTGACTGCCACCCCCCCCGACCCAGAAATGGATTAAGGGGAAGAAAATGGATGGATAGTGAGAATGTATTAATCTATGCCTATAGGTGAAAAACAATGGAGAGACCTGAAAATGGCATCATGTGTGTTATTTGCATGTTAAGATGAAAGTTGAGATGAGTGTAAATTGTACACCACCTCCAGACTTAGCGTATATTCTGTGCGTACCGAATGCTCACTTCCAGATTAATAAATCCCGAAATATGTAAATATTTTGCGTACGCCTCATTTACACCCTGATTTGGCTGTGCGCAAGTTTCATAAATGAGGGCTAATGTGTCTAAATGGCAGCTACTTTTTTTATTGGCATACACAATGTATTACAACATTCAAAAATGGGCGCTACTTTGTTGGAGTGTTCACACCAAACACGCCATGCTGCAGACACCCAAGAATCCGTTCAGACCGGATCATGCGTTGCGTCTGCTTTCAATGCAAAGTCAATGGTGACGCGCATTCGAGCGTCAAAACGCATGGACCTCTCGGAACGCACGCACGGACCGCGCAGTAGACACACACAGATTCAAATGCTGAAGCCCCGCTCACCAGACGCGCATTCTCTAGTTTTCAGACGCAGGGGTCTTCACACCAGAACGTCCTGGCCAGCGCCGGATGTGGCGGAAGTAGCCGGCCGGCTCTGATGCTAACAGAGTTATGCTAGCGGCTTCTCGTGTAAAGATCTTCTCCAATAATGCAGCTTGGCAGGGTGTCTGTGCTCAGAGACCTTCCACGGACTTTATATAATAGAAGTATGTGTTCACGGAGGTGCGCAATAAGTTTATTTTATTAAACTGTACTTCCGCATCGGCGAACACACTCGAAGCAGTTGCATAAAGTCACGGGAGCATGACGACGCATATATTCACAAGCACGCAGTCCCCCATGGTCAAGCCTGGTTTAGTCGTGGTGTAGCTCTTGTTTTGGCTGTTAACGGAGTGGTCTGCTTGCTCAGACCACTAATGTCCCCGTGATCACGTTGCGGCTCTCTGGTCGCTGCACGAACGTCCCGAGGAAAGGTTGAGCAAAGTTTATCTCCTGTGGGCTTCGATTTTCCGCTCCTGCTCCTCCCCTTTGACTTTCCCGTGCGTGCGTGCTGAGAGGTCCATGCGTTTTGACGCTCGAACGCGCGTCACCATTGACTTTGCAATGAAAGCAGACGCAACGCATGATCAGGTCTGAACGCGGCTTGAGAGGCGCAGGAAAATCGACGCACGCAGGAGATAAATATTGCTGAGCGTTTTCCTCGGGACGCTCGTGCAGCCAGAGCCGCAAAGTGGTCATGGGGACATTAGTGGTCTGAGCGAGCAGACTGAAAATACTTGTAAACAGCCAAAACAGGAGCTTCACCAGGACTAAACCAGGGTTGACAATGGGGGGACTCTGTGCTTGTGAACATATGCGTTTTCATGCTCCCGTGACTGTATATAACTGCTTCAAGCATGTTCGCCTATGCGGAGGTACCGTTTAATAATAAACTTTTGCCGCACCTCCGTTAACACATACTGCTGTTATAAAGTCTCTGGACACAGAGAGGTTGCAGAGCTGCATTTTTGTAAAAGAACTTTACACAAAAAGCCGCTAGCTTAACTCCGTTAGCATCAAAGCCCGCCCGCTACTTCCAAGTGTGACCGAGGGAAGGAATAAATTAATTTATCATAAAACCAAATTACAAGTTAAAAGGTCAGCAACGCCACCTAGGTTGAGGACCTAGGACCTATTTTAAAACACAGGTATAAAATCACTGGAGTGAGCAGTGCAAAATAAACCAGGTACTACAATAATAAAGATTTATTACAATAAAAAAATGTTAAAATGAGCAGGCGGGTGCCATAAAACCAGTCAGTGCAAGAGGAGATTAAAATGGTCAATTAAAAAACAGGTCCCAACGCGTAGCTGGTCAGTCCAGGTTCTTCTAGCGAGCCGGGTCCAGCGAGACCGAGCTTTCACCACGGACCCTGGAGGCAGAGCACAACCAAACAGAAAGCGCACACACGCCCCAAAGAGTCCCCCCGCCAAAGGCTACTTCTTGAACACCACTACTCAATGTGTTAAGATACTTACACGCAAAGGCAGAGCGTCCTCTGCCTTCTGCGGTAGTTCAGCTTCGTGGTGTTCTCTGTGGACTCGTGAGGCGAAGGCGACTACTGTGGTCCAGGTCCCGGTAGTGTGCTCCCTCGTATCGCTGCGCTGTGGCTTGTCCCGCGGCGCTGTGGCTCCCGTGCCTTTTCCCTTTCCTTCTTTTTGCGCCCGCATATTTGCCAGGGGGCCACCAGGCCCGCGCCTGCCGTCCCCCGTCCTGTTCCGCTTGTTTTTGCCTTCCTCTCTTCCTGCACTTTTCAATCTTTATCAATTGTCCTTGATACGCCACAGGTGCGCATTTGACAGACAAGTGGGTGGGGCCTGCACTCAATCGCACAGCACAGTTAAAAAGAAACTTTACAAAAACGCATGCATTAATGATAAAAGCAAATCCAATAAAATCATGCATTAATAATAAAAACAAAATCATGCAATAAAACAGGTCCATTAAAAGGCCATGTCCCACATAAGAGTATGGCTGCAGACTCCCCCCCCCCCTCGCAGACCTCCCTGTTCAGCCCCTCCTTCAGGAGACCCTGTTACGTCACTTCCTTTACTGGACACAAGCAGACTTCTCTCAGTTTAGAGAGACCCGGACAGTGAGGAGCATGAGAACATCTTGGAGCCCTTCAAGTTTGTCTTCTCTCGGATTGAGGACATGGAACTCTTTTCTGTTGAATGTGTTGATAAAAGGGGTGTTTTATTGTGACAGTAGCTCATGACAAAGGGGGCTGAACAGGGAGGTCTGCAGCCAGATGCCTCTCGCTACTTCAGCCACTTCTGGCGGGCGCCACCGCAGGCCAGAACTTCTGGTCTGGGGTCTGGACATGCAGTTCCACGCTCAAACGCGCATCACCATTGACTTTGCATTGAAAGTTGTAGCAATGCATAATCCGGTCTGAACGCGGCTATAGTCCTAGGCGTCTTACCCGTGGGAGATGGCCGGAACATTTCCCCAGCAAGGTGTCCAAGAGGCATCCCAAATAGTTGCCCAGGCCACCTCAACGGGATCTTCTGTTTATTTAAGGTTTAAAAACCACACAAGTCAATGAGTCTACATTATATTGTATTTTCAGAAGCAGTTAATAAAAATACAGATGCCTCAGCTGATTTATACAAATTAATAAATGATCAAAAACCTTTAAAAAAAACATTAACATGCATTTTTGAATACTTAACGATGTGCGTTACATTAGACTGGTCTTTGCGTGACAGAAAAGCATTCTACGGCAAAGTGTTTCATAGTATGTTACTTGCCAATAGAGTATCCCCTGCATGCTGCACCTGTGATACTGACCGTCCAGTGGATCCAATTACCAACAGCCGTAATCATGACTGGCACGAGGTTGAAAATCTCATTTGATTTATTGCACAGCTCTTGTTACTCTATACCTGGTCTGAAGTAAATTACAAATACATTGAAAGTGCTTTTTAACAGGGATGGACCCTGGAGTCTTTCAGGGTAGTTTCCATTCCCAGCTTTGCAAGGTGCTGGAGTACATGCAGCAGTTACATGATTACATTTGTGAGTGTGGTTCCACTGGCCCTACCTGGAAACAGAAAGGCCCATTATATCCAAGCAACCGCCACACAACAAACTAGGATCTACCAACTCGCTACTCTGTGGATCTTTTGTAATCTTACAGAGACATTGGAATGCACCGTTGACATACTGGACAAGTAAGGTGGACAATAATGTTCACCATGTAGTGGTTAGTGTGTTGGAGGTCAGTAGCACAGGCATACTTAGTCCAAAGTCTTATTAGAGAACATTCTTGCTATGCACAACCAGGTCACTTCTCCATTACTTGCGTTTACCGTATGGTGGAAAGACAAACTAATGAGGTCATGTTGGCAATAGTCTTTTTACCCTCCCCGATATTTAGTGTATGAAAAGAGCTGCATTCGTGTGGTGCCAAGAAGTCTGAAAAGTAGCATCAAACGAATATTGTGAAAAGAGTATTCCTTTTGTGTGCCGATAAATAGCGCAAAACAAAATAATGGCAACATTTCAATAATGACATTTGGACTATTAGTTATTTGATTACTTTGTCTTTGATAAGATTGTATTACTTAGTATTTCATAACATGAGAGCCTGTGCAGGACCAAGGCGGTGTCAGACTGAACTCGGCACAGAAATGTTCCCCTGCCTGCCGCATGAGATGGGGCCCTCTGAGACATACACGTTGGTCAATGGGTGAAACTCCAATTGTACAGTTTACAGACTCGAATGAGGAGCAAAGATTGTGTTTAATGCACACAACGAGGGAACCATGGAGTTGCTACAGAAACTGCTTTCAAAGACAACTGGCATGAATCAGTGTCATATAATTCTAATCAATTAATTATTACAGAAGTATTACAGAAGTACCATTCTACTGAAACTAAATCATTGCAATCATTAAAATGTATTTGAAAGAAGATTGCACCTTCCTCATAAAGTCCAGGATCAAATTATGTAACATAATTAAGTTTATCACACTATGTACGGTGTGTGAATAATGTCATGTGAAGCATCTTTGGGCATCAGTAAAAGCACTGAAAGTATACATAATTATAACCATTTACCCAATTCATTTGTAATACTATATTATCATTTATTACACCCAGGGATCATTAACATAATAAAGAAATAAATATAATTTATAATCTTGCTGCATGGCTCTGTGTTCTGCTCTCTCAAACAAATTGTGTCATGGTCAACAGCCAAGAACAGTTGCTACAGTTACATTGCACCATGGTTAAAATAGGACTGTCTATATAATTAAATTGGACTAGGAGAGAAATCTGGTTTCACTCGTCCTTTGTGAATATACCCAGGTTTACAAACATTACAAGTTCTTTATGATTGTTTGAAGTTCTTTTGCTTGGTTTGGTTTGCAGATATGTAGAATAGCAGTGCTGTAAATAGTGATAAATCAGCGAATATCATCTGCAATCTATAAATGGAACACTGCTGTATGGTCCGCTGTCGGGGCTACTGTCCCTTACATCTGTACAACTTCCATGATGTGTGAGCCAGGAGCCAGAGTGACGATATCAAATCATCGCACTGCAATATGACAGTATATCACGTCATTGCATACATTCATCAGAATAAATTATAACAAGGGTTAATCAATATTAATGGGTTATGTGTTATTTTCAGAGGAGTTTGGAGATGTTGTGCAGGAAGTTTGAGTTCTGTGGCAGAAAAGCTCCAAGAAAAGTTGATTGACCTTTACCACAATTAGGGGTGTTTCTGCAATTGGTACAGCAACATGGTAAATATAAGACGTGGAAATAGGAACAAAATTCATATTGGAGCAAAATATGAAAATGTTAACACATTACAGCAATATTTGCTGATCCATCGCTCACACACTGTAAACCTTAACAAAACATCTTTAGCCTTCATTTGTTTAAAATATTCTCATGATTACATGGAGCGATTTTGAGTGCCATGCTTTAGTCTTCTGCAACTACCCAGATGTGACAAATGTTACAAAGAATACATTTAAAGTTATTGCATTTCTTGTGTTCGAACTGTTTGCTACTCTGATCTGTGTTGGCGAAGTGACAACTTTGTAAAGTCCTCCGAGATAAACTATGTTGTAATTTAGGGCTATACAAACATACATTACATTGAATTGAAAGTTGTTTGTGGCAAAATGAAAATATTGGCTCTAAATATAAAGAGGAAATAAAGAGAACAAAAGGAAGAGCGTTTTTTGCTTACATAAAAAGTCTAAACAGACCAATTATCAGAATTATCTAATGTCTAGATCTAAAATTGAGACAAATTTTCTCCCGAACGTCTTTTGATCATTCTCTAGCTAGCTAGAAGCTATACAATTTTTAAGAGGACACAACCTTCTTGCCTGTTCTCTCCCATAGTGTACTTTGAGGTTTCAATGAGAAAGTAAAGTGCATAAATTACATCTATTGTTATTTTATATTATTATCAAGTCTGTTGTGTGATCAGAGGAGTCTCAAACATGCATGATACACTTTAAAACAAATGAGTGTAAATGACAATGGAAAATAAAAAGCCCTTGGTCCTATTAGCATGATAAAACTCCAAATCCACGATATACGGCCATAATGTGGTATTTGAATACGATAATCAAGGCCAGCGTTATCATTCGTGCGCACCCAACATGTGTGTGTGGACTCCACATGAATGCAGCTCGGCTGGGGAGTAGGGGGAATGGGTGGTCATAAGAGAGACAGCCTACACCAAATAAATAAATAAATAGTTTTGTTCATAATTCGTTTTTGGTCCCCCGTTGGCACACACTCTATCACCGCACCACTCTGCTCCTATCATGAGGGCGTGCAGGTGGTGGCGTACGTGTGGCGGGTGGTGGCGGGGACGAGCTGAGTGAGCGCTGAAGACAGGAGGATGAGCTGCGAGGGCGAGGTGGCGGGCTCAGTAGAAGCCCCGCCCGCTCCTGGACCAGGGCACTCAGGCTGGAGAGGAAGTCTGCGTCACTGGTGCTGGAGGCGCGCATCCGCAGGCGACGTCTTCTGGAAGAAGAGGAGCAGTGAGAGCCATTCAAGGACTAAGCGAAGAAAATTCATCTTATCATTTCAGATCTCACAATGTGAAATCATGAATATGAAAAAACACCCTGCAAATGCATCGTTTCTTTCATCAACCATTCAAAACATACATTGCGTGCAAAAAGCTTTTCACTCCATTCACTTTTTCTACATGTAGCTAATGTTCCCTGTAATCCTTCATGCGTCTGGACAGAAACAAACTCCCTGAGAACTGTGAGCATTGCAATGGTCCCCAAACTTTTTACTGCCATGCAATGGTTTAAAGCTTGAAAGTTATCTTTTTCTTTCAATGTCAGGCAGGATGCTATATCATGTCTTTGTTTAGTATTCACAGTTTCTAAACTTCAGCGGCTCTGCAGGTTTGCTTGTTGGCCTCAGCTCAGCCCAAGTGTCCATAGTCAATGGAATTTGTATTTTCAAAATTCCATAGTATTTGTATAGTATTCCATAAAATTCTGACGGTTAAAAAAACACTTTATAATTGAACAAAAATAGACTTAGGAATATATCTGGTGAGTTTCACAATAACAATGAAATATTAAAAGGGGATATGGGGATAATGGACTCAGACTTAAATTTTAACAGTCATATCAAATCAGTAACATCAGCAGCATTTTACCATCTGAAAAACATTGCCAAAATTAGAAACATAGTGTCTAAATCAGATCTGGAGATTCTCATCCATGCATTTGTCTCCAGTAGGTTAGACTACTGCAATGGCCTGCTCACAGGTCTCTCCAAACAGGCTGTAAAACAACTGCAGTATGTCCAAAATGCTGCAGCTCGAGTCCTGACCAGGACCAGGAAATATGACCACATTAGTCCAGTTCTCAGGTCTCTGCACTGGCTTCCTGTGGCTCAGAGAATAGACTTCAAAGCAGCACTGCTTGTGTACAAGTCTCTCCATGGCCTCGCACCAGGGTACTTAAGCGACTCGTTAGTCCCATATGAACCGGCCCGGACTCTGAGGAGCACAGGAGGTAGCCTCTTACTGGTTCCAAGAGTCAGAACTAAACATGGGGAGGCAGCGTTTGAGATTTATGGAGCTAAAATCTGGAACAATCTTCCTGAAGATGTGAGGCTAGCATCTACTCTGGCAATTTTTAAATCAGGGCTAAAAACTGTTCTTTTTAGCTGTGCATACGGCTGAAGGATTTTATTGATACATACTCTTTTTTTTTAATGCATTGTGGTTATTTATTATTTTAATCCCGTGTGTGCTTTTATTTTATTTTATTTTTTTTTTCCATTACTTGTGATTTTATTCTGTTTTTAATGTATTTATTGATGTCTCTGATTTGTGTGATATTATGTGGGTTGTGAGGCGCTTTGAGTGGCCTTGTGTTGGAAAGGCGCCATACAAATAAAGTTGATTGATTGATTGATATAGCCGATTCACATTTATTTTTGAAATAGCAGAAATTGGATTATTAATGAAATGTTGTTTCCAATGTCTTTCTAGTCAAGTTATTTTTGCAACAAACAAGTAAACTCCCCTTCGACCCAGAAATGGCCAAAGTGGATGAAGATGAATGAAGGAATAAAAGTAAAATGTGTCACAAGTATTTACATTTTTTACATAGATAAAACACTCAATATAGGGCTCAAATGCTCCTTTTTTTGTCACTCTTTAATTCTTATTTAAATAATTATCTATGTCCGTGTTGTCCCTTAAAGGCGCTATACCCGTTTCTGCAATGTTTGAATGTTTAGCACCGCCCCCCAACTCGCTCACAGGCTTCTCATTTCCCCTAAGCTCTCATAACACGGAGCCACCTAGTTTTATTTGCGATCTGATACGTATGCTAACATTAGCTTTAGCGCAACTCGTAAGCTGTACAATCACTGATTAAATGGCACTAAAGCAATGCACTGCTAACACAATATATAAGTAAAAGAATACCATTAGTTTCGCGTCCGAATGTATTAATTTAAACATTAAAATATATTCTAATATTTAATTATAATTTATTATGCAGCTCCTCACAGCAGCAGCACTCCATTGACTTGAATGCAATTCTTCCGATCATTTTTTTCTTGATAACAGAACTCTCAAACCAATAATGACCGCAGCCCCAATGCAATCTCTGTTTGTAATTCAGGTGTGTAAAATACTGCCATTACTCTGCAAGTACAACAAGCTATCAGCGCCTGTCACTACATTGTGCAGTTTTTGTGCACACTTGTCTGTGTAGAGAAGCTAGCGGAGCTAGCCACGCTCAATAAACAAATACATATCAATCAATCAACACCATTAAACGTTAATCGGACAATACAGTATACATATACATCCTTAACACACATGCACAGACAATTTCAGAATTTACTGTTAACGTTTTCATGACAAAAATACTGTTTTAAAGTGACAAAAAGCGATCGCGAAAAACCCGGAAGTTACCATAAAACAGCTAGCTAGCTTAGCTGTTACCTGCCCAACACGTCCCGGTGAAACCTTTGGGAGCTAACTATTTTATTTGCAGTCATTAAATACATTTCGAATTATAAGGGCTGTCTAATATTTGTTTGAATATATATACAGTATATATTTTTAATTTGAGAATTATATTCGAATTTTGAAGTCGAAGCCCTAGTTTTTAGCAGCGCTGTAGGGGCTAGAGGACGCAGGCTGGTCGCTGCTCGTTCTGTGAGTGGAGGAGAACAAACGGCCCGCCAAGACTCTTCTCAGCACTTTTCACTGCCTGAATTTCATACACAGTGGAATCAATGACCTCAAGTTTTCAATTAAATTATGTATTATGATACAACTTGTATGTAGTAAAAAGCATTTTTATGAAATACTTAGAAACAAAAATTGGGTATAGCTTCTTGAATCATGAACTTGACAATGTGTATTTATACAATGTGCCAACTCCAGCTATAGATCGTAGGGGTGGGAACCTAAGGGTACCTCATGATTCGATACAAAGCTCACGATAACGATATTATCACGATAACAATTTTATCACGATATGAGGATTATTGATATATTAATCAGAAAGATACAATATGCCAATTTATGGCATAAATAAAAGAAAAAATACACTTTATTTCATGATAAATGGAATGGAGATGCGTAATGTAGCCATATATTAAGTATTAATTCCAATGAAAAAAAAAAAATATCTTTTTTTTTCAAAATTATACTCGATACTTGACAAATGCATATCGATAATCAAATCGCGGGAGAAAGTACACACCCCTAATAGATAGTTTTAATATCAAAGTTTAAAAGACCTACTAACAGGGTGTGAGTAATTGAAAACACATGAGGAACCCTTATTTACCTGCATGTTGTTGAACAAATGTAGAAGCAACACTTACAAGGAAAATAGCTCTAACAATAAGGTGCTGGACCCTTTATCTGAACATCTAAACCTTTAAAGCCCCTGGAGCTAGCTGGCTGTAGCTTGTGTACCTGTAATTTTGGTCCGCCCCAACACGCAGCGGGGGCCTGCCTGGGGGCGGCCTGGGCATGAACTTGCCGGTGATCTGCTCCGACACAAAGGTGGCGCTGACGGGACGGGGGATCTTGCTCCTGCTCCCTGAGCTGGAGCTGAGGGACAGTGGCTCGTCACGCTCCCAGGACAGACGGTCGCGGGGCAGGGCACAGGGCAGGTTGTCACAGGACAGGGAAGGCGAGGGCGAGTGTGTGGGTGAGCCGTGCAGGGGGCTGCTCCAGCGCTTGTTCCCGGTACAGTCTCTGACGGGGATGCGGCTAAACCTCGGAGAGCCTGCACGGAGCACAGGGGCAGGTGGCTGCTGCGGAGGATCGGATGAGCGGTCAGGCAGACCAGAGTCACTCTCTGGGTCACGCTCCGGAGTCAGGTGGGGTGTGGAGGACTTGGCAGGGGTCTTTGCAGTCTCTTTGGTGGGGTCTTCGTCCTCAGCCTGAGCCAGAGGAGCCTCCAAGGGGATGCTGTCACTCCTGTCCTGCACTGGGGACTGAGACAGACCACTGGATGACTGAAGGAAGCAAACAAGTTTATTGGTATTTTTATTTGCTCAGCACCCTGAAAATGTGCGAAAACACATTCATGACACAGACTAGGTGAGCATACAAAATGTTCTGAATTGTATTGTACAGAAAATATGGTCTACCTGCTCTTGGCTGCGGCCCATCATGACTGATGGCATGTGTCCAAACATTCCAGGAAGTCTGCGGTGTCCCAGGAGCCAGGTCCCTGGGACGGACACTGGAGACAGGACAGGGCTGGAAGGGACCAAGGTCTGGCGCTCTGGAGCTTCTGACTCCTCAAATGGGACAGTTCCAGTATTATCCTCCTTCAACAACATTCACCATTATTTCTGATCATTCACGGCAACAACATAATCTGCCCGTCTCTGGAAAATAACAGTTAAACTGAAACAGTGAAGACAGGGAAGCAGCTGGAGCATGTGTCACCCGGGTTACAAGACACGCACGCAGGTCAGAACGTGCACGCAGGCCTCTGTGCTCACATGGGATGGCATCCGCGCACACGCGGGACAGAACGCATCTGCGCGCAGATGGACGCATCTGCACGCACGCGGGGAAGGACGCATCTGTACGCACGCGGGACAGAACAGGGCTTGTTTAGGCAAAAAATAGGATGAAACTTCAGCGCACAGGAGATAAGCCGCAAAGATGAGAGGCAACTAACAGCAAAATGAAGCAGCACGAGCCAAGCTGGTGAGTGTTTAGCTGCATGTTATCTCTGGGTTGGACTGCGGATGCGTGTATGTGGTTCTGATTGATGTTAAAAGGTAAGGGTATACTCGCGCGACCCCACCCCAAGACGTCACCTGAAGTCGCAAGGATCACCGCGCTACTAGGGGTGTAACGATACATCTATTTAACCGATGTGTCTCCCCTGCAATCCAGCTACATCGATCAGTGTTCAGCTATTTGGACATGATCCTAGCCGCACATCGACACTACATCGTTTTAAATGTCGATTGTATCGATATAGTTCTTACGTTACATCATAGTCACAACGTGCAATGAAATTATAAATTCTTTGTTTTATTTAATTTAATTTGTTTTTCTCCCGTGTCATCAACAAGCCTTTGCGGCGGCGCTGTAAATTTACGTCACAAGCTCACAACAACAACATGGACAATGGTAGCAGCGAGGCTTTTAAACCTCCAAATTTGCGTTCGTCAGTCAGGTGATACTTCGGGTTTTGTAAAAAACCCAAAGTATCTTCTCTTCGCATCTGTACCGACGCCACGGCATCGCTGGCAAAGCAGAAGTCACAGTGCTCAACAAAAGTTTTGGACCACCTGTCATGACAACATAAAGAACTTAGTAATACTATATCAAGAACTTCAAATTAACAGTATCATTTTTATTAAATATGAAGAAAATAATCAATTGGAAAAACGAAATAGTCCTTGTTAAGTCTGGACTTATTTCCATCAAATCCAGCTTCAGATTCATTCTTATTTAACCACTATAGAAATAAAAAATATATTATTTAATTTTAAACACTTAGGTGGTGCTATAAAACATTTGTTAAGCACTGCATTGTTATACATCTGTTTTATTATTTTTTATTCATGTTAGATATTTATAAGTTAGCTCTTGAGCAAAATAAATGTTAAATTTGTAAAAAAGTTGTATTTCTTGTTCAGCACTTTAAATCTGAGTTAGATTTCGAAGTTTGAATTACTGTAAAAAGTGTACTTACAGAATAAGCCAATATTACTGTATTAATAAATTGTTCAAAATCTACTGTATCGTATTGTATTGTTTAAAAAATTAAGGTATCGTTTCTTATCGAAATCATTTGCTCTCATATTGATACGGACCGTATCGTTCTAAAAACGTATACACCCCTACGCGCTACCACCCGCGGATTTTTCTAACTACGCAGCCGGCAGTGCAGAGAAGGTCCGTTGTGATTGGCCCGTTTGTGTTTACGTATTGAATGAAAGCATGGAACGCCTGCGGTGGAAAACCGACAAGGCACTTTGGAGCAGATAGCTTTGGTGCTTTGAAAGAGGGGAGAAAGTAGCTAGAGTAATTTTATAATGGGACCCCCTTTGGTGTCCTAGGCAACTCCTGCCAGGAAAGACAAGGATGGATGAATGAAAAGATGAAGCAGCAGTGCTTACTTTAGGCCCCTCTCCTTTGGCTTGGCTCCCCTGCTCCAGCTCCAACATGACCCACTCTTGGCTGTTTCCCTCCTGTGGCATGGGGCTGAGGTTGAGGGCCACAAAGCCCTCCTCTGGGTCTGGGGTGGCGGTGCCAGAGTACTTGTCCTCTGCCCCGCTCTGTGCTGCCCTCTCTGGGATGGACTTCTCCCCCACATGGAAAAGAATGGGACGCTGCTTCCCTAGGCTGACAAGAAAATGCCTCCTTATTATAGTTACATACTACTTAGACTGTCTTAATTTGTTCCTTTATTTGGTTGAGACGAGGAATACAACAATTTTAATAAATTTATGGAATTGTTTGATACGCCCTAACATATGCAAGTAGCTTAGATATGACTGCATTTATATTGATCAGAGTAAAACTGCTCTTGCTTTCAGACAACAACTGGATTAACGAGGAACTGGATAGTGATGATTTAATTGGACGTGCTGGATTTGCAGAGGAAGGCATAAAACACCTTTCTTCATAAAGGTGACTAATCATAAAAGTTATGATTAGTCACCTTAAGCCATATTTCTGTCCATCTGTGTGTGGAGCTTGCGAATCTGCAGTGAAAAAGCCTTTTTTTTTTCTGTTTGACTGTTTAGCACCGCCCCCCAACTCGCTCACAGGCTTCTCACTTCCCCAAGCTCTCCTCCCACGAAGCCATCTAGTTTTATTTGCGATCTGATACGTAAGCAAACATTAGTATTAGCAAAACTTCTTGTAAGATGTACAACAATCACTGTACTCCCGGGTTCTCTCCAGAGCTGCGTTCGCATTGCCGGAAGTAAGTCACACCTGTTCCCAGGGGCATGTCGGCCTCCGCCAAGGCTGCCCTTTGTCACCGTTTCTGTTCACTATCTTTATGGGCAGAATTTCTAGACGCAGCCAGGGGACCTCAGGATTTCATCTCTGCTGTTTGCAGACGATGTTGTCCTGTTGGCTCAAACGAGCCAGGACCTGCAACATGCACTGGGACGGTTTGCAGCCTAGTGTAAAATGACTGGGATGAGACTCAGCACCTCCAAATCTAAGACCATGGTGCTCAACTGGAAAAAGGTCCCTTTCCCTCTCCAGGTGGGTGGAGTGATCCTTCCTCAAGTGGAGGAGTTCAAGTATCTTGGGGTATGTGGAACGGGAGATTGACAGGCGGATCGGTGCAGCGTGCGCAGTAATGCGGTCGCTGTATCAGACCGTTGTGGGAAAGAGGGAGCTGAGCCGAAAGGCAAAGCTCTCGATTTACCGGTCAATCTTCGTTCCCTCCCTCACCTATGGTCATGAGCTTTGGGTAATAACCAAAAGAATGAGATTGCGGATACAAGCGGTCGAAAATAGCTTCCTCCGCAGAGTGGCTGGGCGCTCTCTTAGAGATGGGGTGAGGAGCTCAGTCACAAGGGAGGAGCTCGGAGTAGAGCCGCTGCTTCTCCACATTGAGAGGAACCAGTTGAGGTGGCTCGGGCCTCTGTTCCAGATGCCTCCTGGACGCCTCCCTGGGGAGGTGTTCCGGGCACGTTCCACCAGAAGGAGGACCCAGGGAAGACCCAGGACACGCTGGAGGGACTATGTCTCTCAGCTGGCCTGGGCGTCTGCTGCCATGCCACCCGGCAACAGATGAAGTGAAGCCCCTCACTGATCCTCCTGCAGGTGGTGAGCCCACAGAAGCTGAGATCTTTCAGCAGGGGCTTCAGGTGAAGTGGGGTTAAGGGTCTTGCCTAAGGACACAACGACAGCAGTCATCAGTGAGAGACGTGAAGTAGGTCTTATGGTGGGCTCGAACCCATGACCTTCAGGCTCAAAGGCCAATACTCTACCAACTGAGCCACTGTCGCCCCATGCTATGCATGGCCATCAAAAAGGACTCTTCTCAACCAAAAGCGACTGTACGTCAATTTATCAACACCATAAGCTGAGGGAACGTGGCACGAACAGCACCTGCACAGTAGGGGCAAAACTTCAAACAAAAATATTACATAACACTTTGGTTGGGGGACACCGCTACTCCAAATACGTAGAAAAAGTGATTCTCCAGGCGATCCATCGTGGAATTGTTCACTATGCACCGCCCTTTTAAGACATTTATAATTGCCCTCCCAAGTTTTGGTCTCCCTACCAATTTTTTCTGGAACCTGGCCTGACTATTGTCTGTTCTTTGTTTTGACCCACAACATGTGCACATATGTTAATATTTTGGACCATGGATACTGCCACAGCGTAGTGGAGCCTAAAATACCAATTTCCCTGTATTCTGCATTAAGACAAACTAGATAAAACCACCGCAACATTAGTGATAAACAAGTTTAGAATCAAATTTAATATCCTTCTACAAGGCTATATGGTATGGCTTCCTCCTACCACCAAGACAAATTAGTATCATATCAACCAAACCAAAATAATATGGAAATCAATTGAATACTCACTATGCTTCAAGAAAGCGCTCAATGGTGGGCTTGGGCTCCGGGGCCAGTCTCTTCTCGAAGGCCAGACTCTGACTGTGTCTGATGCGGCGAAGCAGAGGGGCTGCTCTCTCCAAAAACATGGTCTCAGAGCGCACCCGGCGCGGGGAGCTCTGCATGGAGCCGGTGTTTGGAGACTGGTTCCCCTGGTTCTGACTGTGTTCATCCTCACTCACCACCTGCAGTGCATATGCAACAAAATAACACCTAATAGAATATTTTTAACTTCCTGCACTTAAAATGACAACTAGCATTAGATAATCTTGCTAAAACTTTTTCTAAATAATCAAAACGCTTATATGGATGATAGAAACAAGCAGAGAATAGATTAAACTTTGTGTTTGACTCACTGAGGTACATTTAAAGAAAAACATGCACCTTCCGGATGACTGGCTGGGTGGCTGGCTTGAGGTTGCGGTTGCGCTCTGTGTGGTCCCAGGACTCCCCAGCGGGGGGCGCTGTGGTAGGGGTGGGGATGGGGGGGCAGTTGTCAGCGTCACTCAGCCTCTCTCCCTGCAGTACGTCCTCTGTGTTCTCGCGCTGCAGCTCACCCGGTAGCACAGACGCGTTGGCCATCCTGCAAGAGATCAGAGAGGTCAGGGACAACGCAAGATGGTAAGCACTGGCGCAGATGTGCACGAGAGGCCCCCAAAACAAGGGCCTGGTGTTTTAGCATTTACAACTGGGGCCTGACCAGTTCTTTTCTTATAAACAGGGGTCTGAGCTCTGGTGAAGTCCACAAACTGTGACAATTCATTGTGGATGTAAAATGTGATTCTATACATACAACATCATCTATGGCGCAGTCATGTGGTGCTCACACTTAACTGGTCAGGGACAATAAGAACTTTTGAGCTAAATATACTTATTTTAAAGAAGCTATACCCTTTTTTTTCCAAGTTGTTCATAAAAATGCTTTTTACTACATACAAGTTGTATTATAATCCGTAATTTAATTGAAAACTTTAGCTCATTGATTCAGCTTGTGTATGAATTCAGGCCGTGAATAGTGCAGAGTAGAGATTTGGCGGTACGCTCGTTCTCCTTCACTCATAGAACGAGGAGCGAACAGCCTGCGTCCTCTAGCCTCAACAGCAATGGTAAACACTAGGGCTTTGACTTCAAAATTTGAATATAATTCTAAAATTAAAAATATATATATATTTGAACAATTATTAGACAGCCCTTATAATTCGAAATGTATCTAATGACTGCAACTAAAATAATTAGCTCCCAAAGGTTTCACCGTGACGTGCTAGGCAGGTAACAGTTAAGCTAGCTAGTTCAAAAACTCTCTGGAACTACATGAAAACTGAACAAAGAATTCTGAACATCAGCGGTGAGTTACCCATTTATGTACCAAACCTAAATCCATAATCAGATCCTCTTCAAATGTGTCCTATAATGTTCGTTTCATGTTAATGGTTACTTCCGGGTTTTTAGCAATCGCTTTTTGTCACATTAAAACAGTATTTTTGTCATGAAAACATTAACAAAAAAATCAGAAAACCTCTGTGCATGTGTGTTAAGGATGTATATGTATAATATATTCTCCGATAAACATTTAGAGGTGTCGATTGATTGGTATTTGTTTATCGAGCATGGCTAGCTCGGCTAGCTTCTCTGCACAGACAGAAGTAGTAACAGGCGCTGAAACCTCGTACTTGCGGAGTAATGTTAGTATTTTACACACCTGAATTACAAACAGATTGCATTGCCAAAGGGCAGCGGCCATTATTGGTTTGAGAGTTCTGTTATCAAGAAAAAACGTTATGAAATTACATTCAAGTCAATGGAGTGTTCTACTGCTGCTGTGAGGAGCTGTATAGTAAATTATAATTAAATGTCTAATATATTCTGATGTTTAAATTAATGCATTCGGACGCGAAACTAGCGGTATTCTTGTACTTATATATTGTGTTAGCAGTGCGTTGCTTTTGTACCATTTCATCAGTGATTGTTGTACAGCTTACAAGAAGTTGCGCCAATGCGAATGTTAGCATATGTATCAGATCACAAGTTAAGCTAGATGGCTCCGTGGGATCAGAGCATAGGGGAAAAGAAGCCTGTGAGCGAGTTGGGGGGTGGCGCTAAACATTCAAACCTTGCAGAATATAGGGTATAGCTCCAAACACATGAGGACCTCACAACGATTGGTCCAAAGTACTGGCCTTGTTGCCATGGCAACCAGTTCCCATAGCAACCAGTGCAACGGGCAAATCAGGCTGCAATAAGTGAGGCAGAGAGGCCAGGGACTTTCTCTGTCTCACACAGCATATCACAGGGGAGCTGCATGCCCTTTTTGCCCCCCCCCCCCCTCGCCCCCTCTCTACTCTGGGAGCACCAGGAGAGGGCGGGGCTCGTGAGAGGAGTACTTCGAGTTTGATGCTCCCCCACTACTAACGGCTAGTTACCTGATGTAACCTAGTTCTACCTAGGAGCGTGTAGCCCCTTAGGGCTACCCCTGACGTAGACCTAGGGAGTGTAGCACCAGGACGTAGAATTCCAAGCGCCGGTTCCGCAGGCTCGTCACAACAGCTGCTGGAAGGCGTCACAACCGGCTCTGTCCGTGGACAGAGAGGAGAGCCTCTCACAGCTGGCCACCAGGGCGCCGACCGCCCCTAGGGTGTCTGCTCGTTGTCTCAGGTCACTCCTGGGGATGATGGCGGCGGCCCATGCGGTTATACGTCTGGGTCTTTGCCACATGAGAGGATTTCAGAGATGGTTCTCCAGTCTCAGACTTCACCCCTCCCGGGACGCAGCGACCATGCTCGTGGTTGCCCCCAGGGTGAGATCAGACATCAGGTTCTGGCTCACCCAGGGTGTGATGCGGGACGGGGATCCTCTAAAAGGCTCCGTATCACACGTGGAAGTGTTTACGGACGCCTCTCTCGAGGGGAGGGGAGGGGTTCTGGGCCAGAGCTCCGTGGGAGGGCTCTGGTCAGACCCATCTCCGCACATCAATCTACTGGAGATGGAGGCAGTGCGCAGGGTGCTGCTGCACTTTGCACCGCTGCTGCAGCGGGGGCACGTGATGGTGCGTTCGGACAACACCACCGTCGTGGCCTACATAAACAGGCAGGGGGGCACAAGATCCCCCGGTCTCCATTGCCTGGCGGCTCTCATTCTGCTCTGGGCAGATGTGAATCTGCTGTCTCTCAGGGCACGCCTCGTTCCCGGAGAGAGGAACACAGGGGCGGATCTAATGTCCAGGGGTGGCCCACTCGGGGAGGAGTGGGGCCTGGCCCCGCAGATCGCGGCGCAGGTATGGCAGAGGTTCGGTCGACCAGGGGTCGACCTATTCGCCAGTGCAGGCAACGCTCTCTGCCCACTCTGGTTCGCGCTGCGGCCCACGGACAATCCACCCCTGGGGGTGGATGCCCTGGCGCATTACCCGTGGCCGGGGGGCCTTCTATATGAGTTTCCCCCGACTCGCCTCTTGCCGGTTTTTTCTGAGGAGAATCGAGCAGGAGGGTCGGGAAGTGATCCTCATCGCCCCGGACAGCCTGCATGCCCGCTGGTTCCCGTTCCTGAAGGGCATAGCGGTGTGCGACCCTTGGCCTCTCCCGGACGAGCCCGAGGCTCTGGTCCAGGGAGGGGGGACGCTTTACTCGCGCCCGGTACTGGGCCACAGACTCTGGGTCTGGAGGCTGACTCTCGTAGGTCTGGGTCTCCCTCAGTCAGTAGTGGAGACCATTCAGGGCGCGAGAGCCCCTTCCACTGTCAGGGCCTACGGCTGTAGGTGGAGGGTTTCCAATGGCTGGTGCGCGGTGTGTTCTTGGGACCCCATGTCCTGCCTTCTGGAAGGAGTCCTGGGGTTCCTACAAGAATTATTGGAGAAGGGGAGGGCTGCCGGCACCCTGGCGGTGTTCGCAGCAGCCATTACCTCTGGCCACGGAGGGTTTGGGACATTTTCGGCCCGTTCCCACCCGCTGGTCAAACTTTTCCATCGGGGGGGGGGGGGCACCGGAAGAGGCGCGTTCTCCGGAGGACCCCCCCGTTCTGGGACCTTAAGGTGGTCTTGAGGGGGTTATCGGGACCTCCCTTCGAGCCTGTGGCCCAGGCCAGCCCCGAGTTTGTGGCTCTCAATACCGCCCTCTTACTGGCTCTCAACCAAGGGCAGGTGAGCTATGCGCACTCTCCGTTCGCCCGGAATGCCTGACATTCGGTGCTGAGGATGGTGTAGTTGAGCTTGGCCGAACCCAGCCTTTCTGCCTAAGGTTGTTACTTCGGCTTTAAGGTCAAGGGTCATCAGGGTAGTTCCCCCGGTAGGGTTCAGGGCGCACTCCACACGAGGAGTCGCGGCCTCCACAGCTCTGCTCCGGGGGGCCTTGGTGGAGGACGTCTGCCAAGCCGCGTCTTGGGCTTCGTCCTCTACCGTTGCTCTGTCATATTTAGTGGACGTGGCAGAACGTCTGACTCACCGCGGGATGTTCGGAGGGAGCCGACGCGCGGCCTGCGGTTACTGTAGTCCGGCTTCGCACCATTCGTAGAACTTAAGTTATACTAGGTAACTACCAATTACATAGTTTACATCAGGCGCAGCGACAAAAAGTGTCCTGCTGTTGTTTGCTAAAGCTACATGTGTTTGAAGGCTACAAACAAAAGATACCTAAAATGAAACGGTAGTTAATATCCATGAAAGAAAAATCCAAAGGGAGAAAAGTGTCATGTGCCAGATGTGAGGCTGGTTGATGGTGCAAAGACTGCGGTGGATGGAACATTCACCGCATTCAGGGCAGTAGACAAAAGGGAGGGCGAGCTCCAAGAAATGCCCTCCAAGTGCATTGTGGCGGCTCATCCCTGCGGCTTCTCTTTCCAATGTTACCATAAGTAACAGCATAAAGCGGCCACCCGCTTTTAATGTGCGGACCTCTTTACCGCTGACTCCGAAAATCCGGGCCTCTTTACGGTGCGTGGCCGCAGTGGAAACATTCTGCGAATGCCAGGCAGGGGACAGGGGGATCATAACACCGGGCACGTGGGTGAATGCAGCGGGGATAAACAACCGCGGGGAACGCAGGAGATGTGGCAGAAGCCGCAGAAAAAACACACCGCTAATCGCGTTCACTTCCTTTACGGACGGCGATGATGATGAAGGCAGTTCTTGAGAGAAGAGAATCCATAAAAGTGGATCAGAAATGTTGAAGACCCTGTTGTTTATTGTGTAGACGATCTGACTGAGGGCTCTCAGTTCTGAGCCCTGTTTCTAAACGATGAATTCTGGGGCCTCATTTCCACTGAGAGAAATTGTATCCCACTAGGTCTTTTTAAAGGGTAATATTGAAACCAAACTGCAGATTTCATGACTGGTAAACTATGAGCAGTGCCATCTTGATCATTGAAGGTCTAATACATAATACAGTTCCATATGACCGCCGACCAGTGCTAAAATATTCTATATAAATTGGATACGTGAATTTATTTCTATCCCAAATTGTGTTTTCATACTAAAAGATATTTCACATTGACTGTAGACAGTATTCCCTGATCTCAAAACACACTCTCAAATTACAGCTTTTTGATATCTTTATACGATAATTTACATTTTCCAAAATGGCCCCACCTTGATGATGAATCAATCCCAAATTTTGGTTCATACTGAAGATATTTCTCATTTACAATATGCCTTCATCTCAAACCACTTTAAAGTTATAGCCTTTTGAAATCTTGAAATCAAAATTGTAAATTTTCTTGAAAAAAATGGGCTTGAAATTGGCATGAAAATCCCTCGTCAATGGCCTGGGCTCCGCACCATGCAGCTCTTTGCTGTCATCATTGCAACATGTCCAGAAGTTCAACTTTTTAGCACTAACCATGTTGTGGTTGTAGTCCATGGTTTTGTCAAGGAGAAAATTAGCATACAGCACATAACAGTCACACTGCTAGCAATCAGACATCCGATTTACATTTTTCAAGCTGAATGTACGCCAATCAGGACTAGGGATGTAAATCGGCGACCGTTTAACCGGTGGTTGACCGTCACAGCGTTAACCGGTCAAAGCTGTCGGTTAAAAAAGAGAAAAAGTGGAGAGGGGAGGTCTCTTAATAACGCTATTTTAAGCCCTATTTGCACGGTGTGACGAGCGGGTCCATATCTAGCTGTGTGCGCCAATGTATTATAAACTCCGGGACGACTCTCACGCCGCACGAGCCAAATATGCACACACACACACACATTTTACCCCTCTCCATACGTAACATCCACACGCATCATCTCTCCCCTCTGTTACCGTCAAAGTTGCACACTGGCGCGGGTCAGAACTACATTGGAGCTTGCATTTACACACACACACATATACATACACACACACATACACACACACATACCGGTCTGTCGCGCTCCTCTGTGTCTCTAACCATGTGAACGAGCCGTCGTTTGCTGCTAGAACGTTTTGGTATTAACCCGCAGCACAGCAGAATGGGAAGATTAAAAAAGCAGTTCTCTGTGCGCAAAGGTGCCGGAGCTGTTGCGGGTTTGGGCGCCGCTGCCTCTGCTCTGATCCAGTAGAACGCAGAGCTGCACTTATGAGAAGTACGCGGCTCGAAATGGCTGTTATTTCAAAGACCGTGGACTATTTTAAACTACGCTGTTAACCGGTTTCAACCGGTTAATGAGGCTCGGTGGTCGGTCATGAAAATTCATAGTTTTTTACATCCCTAATCAGGACACAGAACACAATACGCTGGTTCTTCCTTAGCCAATCAGGATGAACGCCACAGTGAAAATAATGCCAAAAATAAATCTGCAAGACCGCAAAAAGTGAACCGCTATTCAGTAGAGGTGCAACGGTTCATCAATGATCCTTTCGGTTCAACGTACTGTAACTATACTGATAATTAATATTCGAAAAAAAATTTCACAGTGTGTAAATACTGTGGCAAAAGAAAGACATGAGTGAAAAAAAGCGTCTCAACGGCCGCTTATTGCCGCGGCATTTAAGCAGCTCCTTTACGCACAGTCAGACCAGGCTAAAGTCAACTCTCCCGCGCATCCTCAGCTGCGCTCACGACTGACGCTTGGACGTCCCGTGGAATCTATAATAGATCCATGAGCGGAACGGAGAACTTCATCACAGCAGACTGGGAGATGAGAAGTCTGCCGCTGCAGACATGCCCCCTCTACGACAGTCACACAGCGCAGGTACTGACACAAGCAGCGGAGGAATGGAAGACAAAGGCTCAGTACTTATAATTCCAGTCACAACTGATAATGCCAAAAATTAAATAAATGCAGTGAATGAGGCTGGACTGGGCCCAGAATGGACCGCCTCCTTGGGAGAATCAGGAAGGTGGTTAATATATGAGGGTAAATACCCTCATAAAGTTCCTTCTTATGTTGCACTTTGTGTTGTTTTTCACTGATTATGTTAAAAAGACATAATTGGATGGATGGATGGAATATGCCTTCCATCCATCCATCCATTTTCTTCCCCTTAATTCATTTCTAGGTCAGGGGGGGAGCAGTCAGAGCAGGTGCCGGGTCCACATGAGCCATGTTTATTAAAAAGACAAAACATTTTTTTTTTTTAAATGAACCGAAAATGTACCGAACCGTGGCCTCTGAACCGAGGTACAAACCGTACCGTGATTTTTTCAAACCGTTGCACCCCTACTATTCAGCTGAGACGACTCAGATTCAGAATAAAGAATAACACATTTTTCCTGCACGGAAGTTTGTTTGGCGTTTGTACTTTGTGTCATTTTTTTACTATCATCCTACATGTTATAGATTAGATAGTATGCCAGATCAGATGTATCCCAATGAAAATAATGTTAAGCACTTTTTATGTGAGAATTGCATACATGCGTGTCTAAAAAAATTGAGGGGGGATATCCCCCCCAGGGACATGGCTAGGGATGGACTGATCCCCCCCATCCCCCCCTGTGGAGGAAACCCTGGAATTACAAGCAGAGGTCTGTTATCAAGAAATAATGATTGGTAGATTTGAAATTACATTCAAATCAATGGAGCGTTCCTTTGCTGCTGTGAGGAGCCGTGTAATAAATATATTTATTTTACGGCTCCTCACAGCAGCAGTCTTTCAAATGCGTGGATAACTCCGGCCACTCCGGAGCTAGCCACGCTCAATCAACACACTTCAATGTTAATCAAACACTTACACGGAAATTCAGAATTTTCTGGTCTTGTCTTCGTGACAAAAATAATTTTTCTCTGCGTCAAAAAGCGATCGTGAAAAACCCGGAAGTAGTTCCGGCCGCTCAATAAACGCAAATGCCAATCAATCAACGCAATTAAATGTTAATCGGAGAGTACATTATACAAATACATTATTAATACAAGTGCACGGAAGTTTTCAGAATTTTCCGTTTACGTTTTCATGACAAAAACACTGATGTAATGCGAGAAAAGGCGATCCCGAAAAACCCGGAAGTAGATACCGGCACATTTTAGGACACATTTGCAGAGGATCGAATTATGGATTTAGGTTAGGTTTATGTTTGGGTCACTCACCGCTGATGTTCAGAATTCTTTGTTCAGTTTTCATGCAGTTCCAGAGAGTTCTAGTTTGGAAGTTGATAGCCTAACTATTGCTAGCATAGCCACTGGAAAGCCTTTGGGAACTATTTTATTTTCTTTCTTATTTTAAATAAACCTTTTGGCATTCCTAAAAGTGGACTGAAGTTTAGTTGTGTGTTGGTATAAAGCCGTATAATAAGCGGGATAACGTATACTACGCAGGTCATTATCAGAAAATAAGTACTTTCAGGGCGGAAGCCCTGCGCGTGGGGGTTCGCTTCGCCCTGTCGGTACTTATTTCCGATAATGACCTGCGTAATATACGTTATCCCTTACATATTTCTTAAGTTCTAAAAAAAAAAAGCAAGGTTTTGTGTAGGAGTGTGTTTGATGTATCCTTTGTGTGTTTGTGGTGTAGTGTGAGTGCTCACCCTAAGTAAGCTGGGGTGAGGCGGGTGAGCTGCTGAGTGTTTGCGGCAGCCGTGATGTTGAGGGTGTCTTCTGTGTCGCACTTCTCCCAGTCGTACGCCTCGTTTTCCAGCACGCCATGGCATTTCATGGCTTTGTCGAACACGGACGTCAGGAGCTGAGGGCGGCATCGGTCAGCACAGGTCCCACATTTGATATGAGGGGTTGGAGGGCCAGGCACAAGGATCAGCAAAGGGAATGGAAGGGGATGAGAGAGGCACAGGGCTCAACACGAGTCACAAAAGGAAGAAGAGGGGGATGAGGGAGAGGCACAGGGCTCAGCACGACCCACAAAAGGGAGAGGACAGAGAGGCACAGGAGTTATTGCAAGTCACACAAGGGAGCGGAAGATGAGGCACAGGGGTCAGCAAGGATCACAGGGGTAAAGGAGGGGGACGTCCACAGGGGTCAGTATGGGTCATACAATGAAGAGTAGGAGGAGCAGGGATAGGCACAGGGGTCAGCACGAGTTATGCAGGAGATGGGGGGGGGACACATGGGTCACACAGGGGAGCAGCAGGGAGGAGAGTCAGGCACAGAGGTCAGCATGACTGCTAACGGGGGGGAGCCGGCTCAGGAGGAGGAACACACCTGGTAGTCGGGTTTGGTGAAGTAGTCCAGAGTGGAGATGTGGTCCAGGAACATGCTAAACTCTGAGGGCAGGTGTTTGAGCATCAGCCGGTGGTCATACGTCTCCTTTAAGTTTCCCACTTGTTCCTAATAGATATAGATATACGCTGCATTAAACATTGTTTAAACATTTACACAGAAGAACTAGAAAGCCTCCAAATGTAATGATATCTATCCCTCTCTCAGTGGATGGTTTCTATTTATATATCCAATAGTGAACGTCTGCATGAGCTCATTTGTCTAAAATTAAAACACTTAATGTGCAAAAGTGACATTATTTCCACATTTTTGACGAAAGAAACTTTGCTCCCGTTTGCACAAACAAAGTCCAATTTGCACAAAACTTGAATACATTGTTCAATTCCAGGGTCTAGGTCATGTGAAAGTGAAACAGTAGTGATGAAAACAAAGGGTAAAATAGCAACACAGGGCCAACCGTTTACATTTGACATAAAGTATAGACACACGTACTACAGCGCATTACTCGTTTAGTTTGTAGTACTTATGAGCAGAGATGGGACAACTCAGTTTTGCTCCCATTGAAAACATATGTCAATATTGTCTGTTTGAGTCAAAAGGCTCTCATCCTGTGCAGTGTACAGGATATATAGATATCAAATAATATATACATATTCACATTTATACATATTTTATATTCTTTTTTTGATTAAATGCAGGTAGATTTCCTTGCACTAAGTATAGAACTGGTCTACCTTATCTGTACTGCTGCTTCATCACCTGGTAAGAAACCCACAATTCCACTGTCATGAGCAAATGTTTACAATCAGCAGCTTCAAAAAAACGTATAGTGATTTCTAGCTCGTAGTGTGAAAAAAAGTATTTATTTGAACATCTCACAAAAAAAGTAAAATGAACTGAACTGTGAACTAGTTCAGAATTAAAATTGTGAAATTTGACGTGAACTGTTCACTTTGAGCATGTATGAACTGAACTTGAACAAGTTCAGAAAAGCTGGTTATTATGAAGAAGATGACAAAGGGGTCGTGTCTTTAATAATAAGATAAATCTTTATTAGTCTCACAGTGGAGAAATTTCAGTGTCATCGTTGCACACATTACAGCAGAGAAAGGAAATAAGAGCACTCAGATTGCACACATCAAAGTCTATTATTTAAGGTAATAGACTAATAAGGTAATAGAAACTCTGGGTAATTGCACTTGGTTCGGAAGTATTTACAGATGTCTATATTATACATTAGCCGCGGAGACATCAGAAATAATATCAACAGGTAAAGTGACTTGAATGGGAGAATTCAGACAGAAGACATGTTTTATTGTCGTTGGTAGAGACAGCACGAACAAAGATGTTACAGACTGCAAGTGATAATATACAGCATGGAGAAATGGAGTCCTCCATGGTTTTGCCACCCTTCAGAAAACCAAAACATGCTGTTGGAAAGTACTGGCTTGTGCATATTGTTAGAAGGATGAGATTGGCCCAGTCCCAATACTCGCACTTCCACCCTCGCGCCCCTCATTTGCGCGTTCCAGATGATGGGTGCGAGTGCGTAGGGTGTCCCAATTCTCCAGGGAGGTCTTTGGGTCCGCCCCCTTTGCGCCCCTGATTCACACTTCGCCGTGGTCTGCATCTATGCGCACTCTGGCGAAGGATATTGCCCATAATTCTTTGTGGTACAAAACAAAACGTTGGGAAAATGCATCTAATATAAGTTTTGAAATATATTTGCTGTATGTGTGTAAATTAGTTTTGCTATGTTACCTGGAAAGAAGCATAAACGTCTGATGAAGAATTACGGACATTGTATTTTAACAATTTAATAACTTTTCTAATGCAAGCTTTCATATAACATTCAATTTAAACTTTACACTTAGTGCAATCCACTTAACCAATATACATGTATTATAACGTGTGGAGCAACTCTTTTTGTTTCCCACAGTGTAGGACAAAATTACCTTTAATGTTTTTAAAGTTTCAAAGTTCTCTTGACGAGTCGATGACGTAAACTGCACTCAGGGTGCACTGTCCCAATTCCGCCTTTTTTGCATGCTTGTAACCTGCGCACTCAAACCCTTGTGTGCACTTCGAACAAAAGCACACTTCGTAGAGGTGTGTAGGGTGCAGTGTGGGTATTGGGCCTTAGAACTTTAACCACAGTTTCTTCAAAGTGTAATGAAATCTCTAAATTCTCCCCTCTGGTCACACATTCACCTGTGACCATCAGGATCGATAAACCCCTAACCCATCACCAAAAACCCCTCCACCTCCCTGCCCCCCTCGTTCAACACCCAAAAGCCACCCACCTCTCCATCATGAGCCGAGTTCTGTACTTGAATCCTTTGATCTCACTCAGCACGTAAGTGGCCCCACCCACAGCAGAGGGCACACTCTAGATCTGTTAGTTACTAGTGAATATTTCAAATGTAAACGTGGTCGATGTTGCTCTTTCGGATCATTTCTGTGTTTTTTTGACATGTGTTTCACTAACAAACCACCAGTGGACTCTGCAACTGTTCGAAGAAGGCGCATAAATAAAAATACGAGTGATCTATTTATGGGAATGATAAACTTTGAGAATGCATCGTATTCTACTGTAGATGAACTGTTTAACTCTGTCACCTCTAGCGTTTTGAATGTTCTGGATACTGTTGCCCCTGTGAAGGTTAAAATAGTGAAAAATAAGCGGAAGGCGCCGTGGGCTAAAGCAGAGTCGGTCATGGCACAAAAGAGAAAGTGCCGGAGGGCCGAGCGGAAGTGGCGCAAGTCCAACCTCCAGGTTGATTACGAGATCTTCAAAGATAAGTTGTGCGAGTTTAACCGGGTGCTACGTAGTACGAGAGAAAGGTATTTTTCTGAAATGATTGAAGGCTGCAGCAACAATCTGCGTGTTCTGTTCTCAACAGTTAATAGATTAACAAACCCCCCTGTTCAAATGCCATTAGAGCTTACTTCCAAACGTAAATGCAATGAGTTTGCTAATTTTTTCAATGACAAGGTTCAAGGCATCAACAACGCCATTGTCTCCAATCCACAGATAACCATCCAACAGCCAAAAAGGCTCTCTGAGCTAACTCACTTTGCACCTGTAAATGATCAAACTGTCCAAGAGTTAATCTCCAGTTTGAGCTCCTCCACATGCAGCCTGGATGTACTACCCACTAGATTTCTGAAGTCTGTTCTGAGCAGTCTGTTACCTTCACTCACACAGATAGTAAACATGTCCCTTCATTCTGGATATTCCCAAAGGCCCTAAAAACTGCAGTCATCAGGCCCCTGCTAAAAAAGAGCAGCCTGGATGCTACGGTACTTAACAACTATCGTCCCATCTCAAATCTGCCATTTATGGGGAAAGTCCTTGAGAAAGTTGTCTACCTACAGCTTACTAGATTTCTTATAATCAACAACTCATTTGATATGTTTCCGTCCGGCTTTAGACCCCACCACAGCACTGAGACTGCTCTAGTTAAGGTTACAAACTATATCCGGCTGAACACTGACGCAGGCAAAGTCTCAATCTTAATCCTGTTTAGATCTGAGTGCTGTCTTTGACATCGTCAACCATGAGATCCTCTTACAGAGATTAGAGGACTGTGTTGGCGTCGCTGGCACCGCCCTAAGTTGGTTTTAGGTCTTACCTTGAGGACAGGAAGTACTTTGTGGAGATTGAAAACTGTCTCAGATCATATGGCCTTGACCTGTGGAGTACCACAGGGGTCGATCCGGGGACCTCTTCTGTTCAATCTCTACATGCTGCAGTTAGGTCAGTTAATACGCAGAAACAAAGTTTCCTATCACAACTATGCAGACGACACTCAGATCTATGTCTCACTGACTGCAGGAGAACATGGACCAGTGGACTCACTCCTTCACTGTATCCAACAGATCAGTGAGTGGATGCAAAACAACTTCCTTCAGCTAAACGCAGACAAAACTGAAATGATTGTCTTTGGTCCCCAGAAACAAAGAGAGAGCGTCATCTGTCACCTACAGTCTCTCTCCCTAAAACCTTCAAACAAGGTCAGAAATCTAGGGGTAATACTGGACTCAGACTTAAATTTTAATAGCCACATCAAATCAGTAACATCAGAAGCTTTTTACCATCTAAAAAACATTGCCAGGATCAAAAACATAGTGTCTAAAGCAGACCTGGAGATTCTTATCCATGCATTTGTCTCCAGTAGGTTAGACTACTGCAATGGCCTGCTCACAGGTCTGTCCAAACAGGCTGTAAAACAGCTGCAGTACATTCAAAATGCAGCAGCTCGAGTCCTGGGCTAGAACCAGGAAGTACGACCACATTAGTCCAGTTCTCAGGTCTCTGCACTGGCTTCCTGTGGCTCGGAGAATAGACTTTAAAACAGCTCTGCTTGTGTACAAGTCTCTCCATGGCCTTGCACCAAAATATATTAGTGACATGTAATGACACCCCACCATGTCCTGGGCCTGGTGGGGTCTGGGGCCCCTCTCTCCTCTGGGTCCTGTGTCGTTCCCTGTGGCTGCAGCCGGCTCTCTGCTCCTGGTGCAGATGGCTCCTTGGATGACGCTTCTTCAGCCGGTTACATCTGCTCCCAGCCCCATTTCTTTTTATTGTTTTACCTATTTTACCTGATATGACTTTATACTTGTGTATGTGTGTGTGTATATGTGTGTGTGTGTATACGCATGTGGTTGTATATATAATTATAAATGTGGTTTTGGGGGGTCTGTGGGGAGGAGGGTTTAGGGCTGGGCATGTTGGATTGTTTTTAACTAAACTGTAAAGCACTTTGTGTTACACTTTTTGTATGAAAAGCGCTTTATAAATAAAATTTTATTGATTTGATTGATGTTAGTACCATACGAACCAGCCCGGACCCTGAGGAGCACAGGGACTGGACTCCTGTTAGTGCCCAGAGTCAGAACTAAACATGGGGAGGCTGCTTTTCAGATTCATACTGCTAAAATCTGGAACAGTCTTCCTGAAGATTTGAGACAGGCCTCCTCAATGACAATGTTTAAAACCAGGTTAAAGACAGTTCTGTTTAGCTGTGCATACAACTGAGGGATTTTATATTTGTATCTTTCTTTTTAATGTTCTGTGATTATTTATGATTTTAATGCTTTCTTATTTTGTTCAGCACTTTGAATTGCCTTGTGTATGAATTGTGCTATATAAATAAACTTGCCTTGCCTAAACAGCAACATAACATCATAACTCAATACTTCAAAATCTCATAAACTCTGTACTTCAAAAACTCAGAAAACATGTTCAGATCTTTCATAAAACTCTTCAACAATCTTCAGTAAAATACCAAACTTGAGTCGATGGTGATTGTCAGATATTGCTTTGAAAACGGTCTCTCCCATTTTCCGTGATGATTTCTTCAGGCTACATTTCTCGCGTCGAGCCATGAATTCTTCTTTGACGCGTCTTTCAATCACACGTTTCAGCTTTAGTGTCCAGATTCTGCAATCCAATTCAGTCCAAATAATGTCCAAAGTCCAATCGTTCCAAATGGTGTCCATGCAAAAGAGAACAATGGTATTGTCTATCTCTCAGCAGCTTACAGCAGGAATCAGGGGCTGTGCAGATTGTCCAAGTGTGCTGATCCAGATGCATGGTTTCTCATGATTTTAAAATTTTGTCAATTTTGTGTTGTGTCTGTTGGGTCATGGGCATGCAGGATTGATTTTAACCAAACTATAAAGCACTTTCATTTTGCATCGTATGAAAAGTGCTTTATAAGTAAAATGTGATTGATTGATTTATTACTGACCAGTATGGTGGTCCTTAAATTAACTGAGAAAACTCTCCTCATGAATTATTGTATCAATTGGACCACATTTACCCCTCCCTCAGTGATCTTTAAATATTTCCCTCCGGCCCTTTGGGGCGTTTGTCATCTGGGAATAAAAACAACATATATCAATACAAATTTGAAGAAAAAATTCTGTTATAACATCAGCATTGGCCTTGCCTTAGCCATCTGTACACTCCGTTCAATCATTATCATTTCACTGCATGTAACGTCTGGGTCAAGTCCCTGTGTTACCGATTACAATCGGTTGAATTTCGACCGACCACTCAGAGAGCGCGGAAGGCAGGTGTTGTAGTTAGTTGTGGGTGATGTCAAGAGTTTGCGTCGAACGGGAAGGTCGTAGTTTGGTAATGGTGAAAAATGCGATAGTAAAGTAATCCGGTCTGGTTCTATCTAGAAATTGAGCAAGGGTAATGTTTAGCAAATGTAATCGCTGAATAAAATTGTGGCGCTACTCCCCACGGGCTCCGTTAGCTGCAAAGGAGATGGCTAGGCTAAATGCTAAATGCTAACAACTCGGGCGCACTACATGTGTCACGGTAAACTCAGATCCAATCGTTTCAATCTGCAAAAGGAGTTAACTCCCTCCCACCTGTAAACGGAGCTCAATGGAGCACCTCCAGACCTTAGTACGGAATGTAATTTGTACTATGGTGTGGTACGACCAGGCTACATCAGCATTGATGTCAAGCAAATGTAATCTACCATTTTACATGTATGAAAAAGGACAAATATCAATGGTGATGAAAATTGTAAAACATCAATATATGACTGACTGCAAAGTACAGGAGCTTTTTCTGGAGCCGCTGTTCAATCATTCAAGCTCTATTGCATCGACCAGTGTTTGAGGCTGTCGTGTCAAACTGCATCCCCCCCTATATGCTCAGCAAGGCCCTAAACTTCTAGTTCCCCCACAACTGCTTTGGCCATTTCATAGCCTGTTCCTCTTGATAGTTTGGGGACACAGAGTTTCCACTGCCTGAGAACAAAATGGGAAGTTGTTCTACATTTTCTTTTGTTGTCAGGTCACGCTAGCTGACTATCCACAGATCACATCTTTCCACGCCATCCAGGTTCACGCTGAGCTAACAGAAATTCCTTATCCTGTTTGTTCTTGAGAATGTCCAAGGCATTGGCACCGGTACTATCAAAAAGATCTGCTTCTTGAGGGTTTCTTCAGACTGCTTGAGAACCAGCTGGCGCTGTTTTGTTGTGGATTTTATATTATCTTTACAAGAATAACATCTTTTCGTTGCAATGGGATCCTGGCCCTCATAATTTTCAACACATAATTCACAACTGAGTACCAGAGCTTAGCTTCAGCCATGAAAAAAGCAAAAGTACACTAACATAAGTACTGCAACTCCTTGTTCCTGAGAGGGCAGTCGTTAAAGAACAAATTGATGGGCTGAGAGCTAATATCAAGCATCTCCAAAAGGAAATCTCTCAACCCTTCAATTCGAGATAACAGGCATTTTATACTTCAGCATAGTTTTTTGTTATGTTATTTCCCTGTTGTTGATAGTGACGAATAAGGCAAAACTTCTGTCTCACTGAGGGAGGGGTAAATGTTGTTTGAATTGGGAAATAAATTACCAGGAGAGTTTTTCCAGATATTCCAACAAATTTAAGGGGTTGGAGCTGAAAAAATATTAATTATTATTAATTAATTAATTATTACCCTTATGGAAGGACCACCCTACAGACCAATGCTCGTTTCGGAGATCACAATTAACAGCAGGATAAAAATTATTTACTGATTATTATTCATTTAAGATTATTTTTTTATAAATCAATATTTTTGTGCCTTCAGATTCAAACAAAGCATTTAAGGGGCCTATAACATGACATAAAAAGGACTACACATATCGAGGTCAGTCACATTCATCTAGCATCCTGAAGGCTCGTCTGTATGTGACGCAAGAAGCGCTTCCCTTTATCGGCATACACCTGTCTGCATGGGGCAATTTTGCTTCAGAGGGAGCAGAGGGACCAACCGAGTACACAAAGCAGCGTGGAAGTTTAGTGCAGACTCATAGTCCTTGTACTGTACCTTGTCTTTGATTTTCCTCCAGGGAAGCTGGCCCACTGTGAACTCCACCAACATGTAGAACAGAGACCACAGGTCATCATGGCGCCCCATTTCCTATAAGCACATTCCCCTGTTAGAGCAGTGCAGCACTGATAAGACCGCACCAAGTCTGAAGCACTTCAAGTTGATAACCGTTTTTTTTTTTACCTCTGAAAAATATGAAATGTTGCGGTAAATAGTGCCAAGTGTTGGGGTTAGTAAATTAATATGAACAACAAAATGGCCAGTCAGGCATTAACTGTGTCTAAGAGGGGAGATATACTGTACATGTCCCCCCCGGTTTTTGGATTTTAAAGAAAGTGACACTTACTTTGTTTTTGTGAGCATTGATAGAAGCGTATCGGACCGTTCCTCTGAAGCCCGCCACAGGACGCGGCTGCAGCAAAGAGAATATTCATGAGATTCAGCTTCAACTCAAGCATCAAGCATCATTGAAGAAAAGGCTCAAAAGAAAACTATTGGTAGCCTTTTAACCATCAATTTGTCTTTCCAACTAAAAGCCACTACTCAAATTACAAATCATTTATAGAGTATGGGGGCTTCCAATAAGAACAGTGCGGCTGGGCTGTGAGAACACGACAACAACATGACAGCTGCCTTTTTGTACGTAGTAGAGAGCCGTTTAAGAGGTGGTCTCGGAGCGGCTCAGGCGTCAGTCTGCTGCAGAGCGAGTGTGCTGTGAATGTGGACAAACTCTGGCCGACCTACCACACCACAAAATATTATACACATATACAAAAGCATTAAGGAAGTATGAGGAAGTCATACCTTGGTCTACCGCAACCTTTTTATTAGAGTATTTAGCATTATATCTTAATTAGCAGTCTTATAAGGCTGTTAAATTTAACTTGCCAAAGTTGGAACTACAAAATCCCCTAAAAAGTCACTCCTTCAAATTAAAAGGAAGGGTTTTCTTTTGTAATGATCTGAGCAAAACCACTCCCTGTATATGATACAGATTTATGCCGCGAGCCCACTTACCGGCCGTACTTCCTGGCTTGAGTTTGTGAACTGTCGCGCCAAGCCGAAGTCCAGCATGTAGCAGCAACGGCATGTACTGGCCAGCCTCCCCATAGCGAAGTTAGACTGGAAACACACAGGGACACAACAAACACTTTCACTTGCAGTACTTTGTATCTCAGAAAAGAAATGTCAAGGTTTTTTACAGGGTTGGACAAGTCAACTTCAAAAGGAGAATTATTATGCCTTATTTGTTACCATTAAAATTATTATGAGGGTATTTACTTTAATTCAATGTTTTAGAAAGTGAAATAATACCCCAAAGTTAAAAACTGACTCCAGAGGGAGGAGTTCATTTGTTTGGGTAACCAACTGCTAACACAGACATGGAATGGTAAAGAACTCTGTTATTTATAAATTAAAAACTATACCTGACTAAGTGTGATATGCCACACACTCTACAGAGACAAGTCTCTGAGGAGGAGAGGCGAGACGACACAGGAAGGGAGAGAGGTAAGGGAGGACAGGGGAGGGTAAGGGAGAGAGCAGAGAAGAGAGTGGTTCAAACTGTAAAGATAAATAAAAAAAAGCTTAGCAAGCAAAACATGCAGGGGTGTGACAAAGCTTAAAGGGTACACTGTATTTTTTACTGCCATCTAGCGTTGAGATCACTTATTGCAAGTCTACTTCTACTACCAACACTACAGAAGCCTCCAAGGTATGTCGTGATTGATAGTGGTCCCTAACTAGGGATGTAAAAGACTATGAATTTTCATGACCGACCACCGAGCCTTATTAACCGGTTAAAACCGGTTAACTGCGTAGTTTAAAATATCTTTGAAATAACAGCCCTGCGAGCCGCGTACTTCTCATAAGTGCAGCTATGCGTTCTACTGGATCAGAGCCGAGACAGCGGAGCAATACCTGCAACAGCTTCGGCACCTCTGCGCACAGAGAACTGCTTTTTTAATCTTCCCATTTTTCTGTGCTGCGGGTTAAAGCATTTTTAGCCGCGTCTCGCAGGTCCCCGCTAAAGTTTAAATACAAGTGATGTGTGTGGAGCTGATCTAATGCCAAGGACCATCAGCACAAACATGTTTCATGTGGTTTGACTGATACATTGGCACACACAGCTAGAGACAGAACCGCTCGTCACACCGTGCAAATAGGGCTTGAAATAGCGTTTTTAAGAGACCTCCCCTCTCCCTCTTCTTTTTTTTAACCGACAGCTTTCACCGGTTAACGCTGCGACGGTCAACCACTGGTTAAACGGTCACCGGTTTACAACCCTACTCCCAAAGCTGCTGCAGCGTGTGCCGTTCACTGAGGCTTCAGAGAAGTGGTGCATGTTATTATCATAGATCCATGATGTAGTTCAGATCATCGCTTTGACAGTTTGCTTTATGATCCGTGGGACCGCTGCTGTACCCATCTGTCTCTGTGCGCCTACGTGTATGTGCACGTTTCTGTCTCTGTGTGGTACGCGTGTGTGTGTTTGTGGTACGTCTTTGTACGCGTGTGTGTGTGTATGCGTCTGCCTCTGCCTCTGTACATGTGTGTGTCTGTCTCTGAGCGGCACGGTGGCTGAGTGGATAGCACTCTCGCCTCTCAGCAAGAAGGTCCTGGGTTCGAATCCCGGCCGGACCAAGGCCTTTCTGAGTGGAGTTTGCATGTTCTCCCCGTGTCTGCGTAGGTTTCCTCCGGGTACTCCGGTTTCCCCTGCCACTAAAAATATGTACAATAGGTCTGGCATGCGCCTCCTGTTCGGCGACCCCGCTCCCATCTCTGTGTGGAGTGAGAGGACAAGTGCTCAAAAAATAACAATTGTAAACCGCTTTGTGACTCTGGTCTGTGAAAGGCGGTATATAAATAAAGCTTACTTACTTACTTACTGAGTGCGTGACGTGCAGCAGTTCTGTACCTAATTATTGCAAATCTTCATATGAAATAGAATTAAAATCATCTCATTTTAATAAATACTGTGTTTCATAAAGTCATATCTGTGTCAGATCTTATCTGTGGTGAAATCAGACACTTTGATAATGTGTGTGACGTGGAACACGTCTCCTGCGTCGTTTGTATATTGTCCCCTAGATCCAGGGGTGTCCCAATTCTTAGGGAGAATGTTGTGAGTGCACTCACCACTGGTAAGGCACTTTTCTGGTGAGGGCACTCACACCTAAGGGCAAGGGTGAGAATTGTGACAGGGCCGGGAACCAAGTTAGATTTCATCCTGTAAATACAAATCTGAAAAACCTCAAGATAAAACAGTTTGTAAAAATTACTGCTATATTTGGCTGCTGTATTTACACTGAACAAGGTAAAGCGAAACGACTGGGTCGAAAGGTAGGTTGATGGCAGAAAGAAAACCCCCATTGTGAAATAAAGCAGGACTGAAGCAGGTCTAAAGCAGGACTGAAACAGAAGTAAATGAGGACATAAAGGACTGAAGTAGGTCAGACATTTTGCCAGAGACATTTTCAGTTGTGTTTGAGAGATTCTGGCAAACCGTCCGGTGCCTCAGGGGGGGGGAACAGTTCTTTGCGGGTGGAGAGCTGCTGACCTCGACTGGGGATAATGTTGTTCCTTTTCAACGTTGCATACATTTTCAGTTTTATGTAGCCTGACTTGTACTGACGCAGGACTGGCTATAAGGAGGGCTATATACTAGAATTAGTTGCAGCATTAGTTTTACCTTTATTGTAAAAAAGGTCCCACGTTTTAATGATTGTACTTAAATAAAGGTTATAGTGCAGATGGACATACAGGCTTAATGTCGCGGTGCAGAAAGCCCACAGAGTGGATACTCTCAATGGCCTCCAGGATCTGCTTGCCCAGGCGTAGTGTAGTGGAGACAGAAAAGGTTCCCCGGGCCATGGTCCTGCGCAGGTCTGCCAGATTCCTCCCCTGCACAGACAACCAGTCAAAAGGTTGAGCAACCGCACACACTGCCTCGCATAGAGGCACAAAGGCACACACTGCCTCGCATAGAGGCACAAAGACACACACTAGAAGTCCTACCTGCAGCTCCATCACCACGTAGTTGAAGCGGTCATTTCGCCCACAGCCAACAAAACGGCACACATGATCTTTACCTATAACAGCACAATTATTCTTTTAACGAAATGATATAATCTTGTTGATGCAATTTTTATACTAATATACGTCAGGATGCAACGTAACTTTGTTCAGTGTTCCCAAAAGCACGGTGGGTAGCTTGTATAATATAACAGAGTTTTCACACACGTTTCATTGTGCCAGCATGAAAAGTAAATTCCTTTATTAGTCGTTTACGACCTAACCTGGTTCTAGGCGAAGGGTTAGGGGTCAATCACTAGTGTGAACAAAGGTCAGCCTGAACTCTGTTCTCAGAATGGAAACACTCACCCTGGAGCTTCTTGAGCACTGCCACCTCCATCTTGAGCACCTGTTTGGGCTGCTGTGCTGACTCCACCTTCAGAGCCACAGTGGCCTGGGTCAGCTGGTCCAGCACCTCATAAATCTCCCCAAAGCCTCCACCACCAATCTTTCTGAGCTGAGAACACCAAAGCACAGACTGACTATGTCCTCTCACAATAGACTTTCATTTTAATAACAAAATGTCTAAATGACGTCACATACTAAATAGTACCACTACAAAAAGTAGGGCTGGGCGATAAAACGATAACGATATATATCGCGATAGACATGTGTTCGATATCAATAGAGAATGGGGTCGATAGAATGTTCGATAGTTTAACTTAACTCCGTCAGGAAAAACAGGAAGAAAACACCGGAAGTAAAGCCAACTCATAAGCGCGCGGCATTGTGGGGGATGTAGGCAGAGGCTTCTCGACCAATAACAGCCGAGCAGGAACCGCAAAACTTTCTGGGAAATGCAAAAACACCAACAACCGCACCATGCGTAGCGTCCATGGATCTATAGCTCGTGTTTCAATGCCGTGTCAACGGTTATGCACGTACGTGCGCGGAATAACATGTGCGGCGGCAGAGGCAGTGGACAGACCCAATGTATTCGGCGAAAGCAAGAGATTAACTTTTTCCTCGGGAAGCATGTGCGGCACAGAGAGCCGCACGGAGCGGTCACGGGGACACAAGACCGTCAAAAACAGCTAAACCAGGAGCTAAACCAGGAATAAAAAACCAGGATTAAACCAGGATTAAACCAGGACTAACAACGAGGGACACAGTGTGAACATATTCCTCCAGCCTCATTCCCCCGTGACTGTAAACAAGGCTGCTAAGGTTGGTTAGCCCACACGACAAATCTATTTATTTAGGTTAAAAAAAAAAAAACTCAATATATATCGTTATCGACCGATATGAATGACTTATATCGTGATATAGTTTTCAGCCATATCGCCCAGCAGCCCAGCATGTCCAGCAGTTCAGTCTGCTAAAATTTACTCATTTGGTTGGTTTGTACAGTTACAAAGAGTATTCCTACAGAGAAGTCTTGATATTTGGTCTAAGATACCACTTTATTTGGTTAGTGTTCATACTAAACATCTATGGGCAAAAAACAGCACAGCAAATCTATTGTGGATTTTGTTTGCTCTTTGTCATGGGACATTGGAATGTTAGTGTTACACTTTCCTTTATATCAGAAACTGGCGCAGGGAAACGCCCATGACGTGTGGAGAGGTCTAAAGAACATCTCCGGATTCGGACAGAGTGTCAGAGGGACAGCGGACCAAGACCAGTGCCGGGCGGATGAATTTAACCAATATTTCAAATGTTTCGATCCCCCCCCCCCCCTCCCCCTCTCCCCTTCTTCAATGGAAGACTGAGGCATCATGGGCCTCTTGGCTGCATCTCTGATCAGTCTTCTCCTTGTTTGAGATGAAAATTTGGAGGGACGGCCGGGTCTTGGTAGATTTGCAGTGGTCTGATACTACTTCCATTTCAATATAATTGCTTGCACAGTGCTCCTTGAGATGTTTAAAGCTTGGGAAATCTTTTTGTATCCAAATCCGGCTTTAAACTTCTCCACAACAGTATCTTGGACCTGCCTGGTGTGTTCCTTTGTCTTCATGGTTCTCTCTGCGCTTTAAACAGAACCCTGAGACTATCAAAGAGCAGGTGCATTTATACGGAGACTTGATTACACACAGGTGCATTCTATTTATCATCATCAGTCATTTAGGACAACATTGGATCATTCAAAGATCCTCACTGAACTTCTGGAGTGAGTTTGCTGCACTGAAAGTAAAGGGGCCGAATAATATTGCACGCCCCACTTTTCAGTTTTTTATTTGTTAAAAAAGTTTAAATTATCCAATAAATTTCGTTCCACTTCACGATTGTGTCCCACTTGTTGGTGATTGATGACAAAAAAATAAAATTTTATATCTTTATGTTTGAAGACTGAAATGTGGCGAAATGTTGAAAGGTTCAAGGGGGGCGAATACTTTCGCAAGGCACTGTACTTATACTTCTATTTACATTACATACATTATATTTGTCAGTAAATCTGAATATTGGTGAAACATTTATAAACAAGGACATGTGCTAAATACAAAGTTTAGGCATGTGACAAAGTTATGCATCAGAGTTACACAGGCTGCTGTTGCTACATGTGTGTCCCATTCTGTCACATGATCTCTCCATGGTTTTAACAGACTGTGCAGAGCACAGCAGGTCAGCACCATTGACTTGACATGTTCAGTGTCCGAGTCATTCCTTAAGACTGCTGAAAGCCTTTTCAACAACCACTCGCACTGTGCTGAATGTTCTATTCAATACTGGCTGTTCGTCTGTCACTCACCAGGTGTCCTGAAAAGGTTTTAGGAACCAGTTCTGCAGGGGGTAAGCAGAGTCCCCTAGGAGGTAATAGCAGCTATCACCAATATTACAATAAATCCATGCACCGCACCAATGTTACTGGTTACACGTTGCGCATAAATGACCCCTCCCACGTTGAAGAGGAACTATTATTAATAGAAAAGCACCCGCACATGGCCGTGCCGCGCAGTGCTGTTACTGTGGAAAAGCGGCATTAGTTGATAAAAATGGTACTCAGCTCAATAAGGAACAATGATTTTAAAAAAGGTGTTCATTTGCTCATACTCACCACTTTCCATCGATCCCGGACCACGTCTGACACTGACAGGATGTCTGTGTGCTCTCCAGCTGCACTCATTGTGACAGCTAAAAGGAGAGGGAGCAAAGTGGGGAGCTACAGGCCAATGACAGCATCAGCACTGAGGGTGCGGAGAGAGGGCAAACACGCGCACACACACACACACACACACACACACACACAGACAAAAACACACACGGTAGAGTTAGACAAGGGCACTCCGGAGAATATAGACTAGGGTGCACAACTGGACTCAATTGGGCTTTTCCCACTCTTCACTTCATCCAGTTTATTCCAAAATGAATCAAATTCTTATTTTCTCTTGTCAATCTACTTGCACAAAACTAAAATGACAAAATTGAAAACATTTTTGTTGTAATTATGTTTCATCGACACAATTAACTGAAAGCATTGAATGGTCATGCAGCTTCATTTGGCCTATAGGGCTGGGCAATAAATCAAATTTAGGCAATTAATTGTGAAATCGAATGAAAGTTGTTGTGAGAGCTCCAGCAGCACATGAATAATATTTGCAATATCAGCACAGTCTGTACAAGACTTTTATAATACGTATTGGTGCAAACAAATAAAACATTGTTTTGAAACTTTAATATTGAGCGGAAAAATCCAAAAATGTTTTTAAGGGCAAAGTCTGTCTTCGGTGATAAATTGTCCAAAGCAGGAAATAGCACTGAGATTTTACTTTTTTGCCATATCGCTAAAACCCTAATTTCGCCATCACTAATTATTACTTGCCCTACCCCGACCAGGGCCACTAAAGCACTTTGCAATTATGTCTATTTTAACATGCACTCGAGCATGCATTTATCAATATACAGCAGGTTTCTATCATTTCATCTACCGGTAGCTAAATGAGTTAAGAAGCCTGGTTTACCTGCTACTGTCATGTTGCCTGTAGAGCCTTAGAGGAATGTTTATGTTTGTATCTCCAAGGATGCGTTCAGCTGCTCAATTCAATTCAAATTTATTTTTGTATAGCCAACAAATCACAAATCACAACAGTAATTATCTCTCTGGACAAAACTGTTGATTCGCCAACACAGATAAGAGAATTAAACGTAAGTAAGTGATCTTTATTTATATTGACCCCTTGCATGTGACGTCCCGGCCACGCCCACTCTCCATGACAGACGGCAGAAGTCTAACTGCGAGCCTACGGACACCTGACCAAAACAACCTGTTTCAGCGCATTACAGCCAAAACTGTGACATTTTGCAGTGCGGTTGATTATACTAACAGGCAAGGACATAAGCTTTTTTATCTGATACCTGCTCGTCATGAAGACAGAAGACGACGATGGCCAGCGGCAATCAACCAAAAGGACTGGGAGCCATCCAAGTACTCCCTAATATGCAGTGAACACTTTTTACAAGATAAAGCAATCACAAGTTTGTATTCATTTTATTTCCATTAATTTGGAGGACAATGACACACGTCAAACGTGTCTCTTACTACTGTCCTGTATGTGCGCTGCAACATTGACATTTTTATCTTTTAAGTCAATTGCGTGTTTCACTATTTTCCTCTCCGTTAGTACGTATCATGTTTGGCTGTCGACAGAAAAGCTACAGAAAAGTGGACTATTGCTAATGCTACCAGAAAAATGTACATATAAATCTGCTCCAGTGTAAGGTGATTCATTATTAACGATAATGATAAAGATCATGTAGGGTGAATTTGGGCAAAAATAGACATTTTATTTAATTGATAAAATTGACTGGGGGGAGAAGGTACGGGTCAACATCCAGTTAGGCGATCCTTAACTTCTCCAAATACCACTCTTTGTGAGCCCTGACCTGATGTCCTACTTCCACCTATAACGTAATCGAATATGTGCTTGAAGCAGCCACTTCTCGATTTAGGAGAGGAAGCTCCGTTTTTAAGAGTTGTAGTCAGTTTTGCTCTCGCAGGATGCTAGTTTCCAATACTTCCGCCGTGAGCTCATTCACAATCACGTGACTGGATGACATTGATGCATCTGGTCAATACCGCCTTTCACAGACCAGAGTCACAAAGCGGTATACAATTGTTATTTTTGTGCATTTGTCCTCTCACTCCACACAGAGATGGGAGCGGGGCCGCCGAACAGGAGGCACATGCCAGACCTATTGTACATATTTTTAGTGGTAGGGGAAACCGGAGTACCCGGAGGAAACCTACGCAGACACATGCAAACTCCACTCAGAAAGGTAAGTAAAATTGTGGAATTCTCAAAAGATTTAAAAAATTGCAGGACCATTTTGGAATTCAAACAGACTTACAAGAGAAAAAAAATCCAAATCTACAAAAGTGATGTTTAATTATGTCTTATGTTTATTATGAAATGTATGTGCAGTATGTATGTGCATGTCTGTATATGTATGTAGGTATATAAATATGAGTATGTATGTATGTAAATCTATGTATGTGTGTGTGTTCATATATATGTATATATATATATATATATATATATATATTGTATGTTCTGATAAAGAAGGCAGAGGAATCAGCAGCAAAACCATCTAATTCTGTTTTTTAAAAGAGGGGGCAGAAAATATAAGAATTATGTTCTTCTATCTGCTCCTTTCTGATCATGGAAATGTTTAAATGATTTGTTTGAATGATTTGTTTGAATGTTTTGAAACTTTTATAACTATGCATTTTCATGAGATGAATAAAAAGAACCTAAACCTAACAGAGCCAAAGAAATGTCCTAGTTTTTGACCTCTTGTTACTCACATTGTCAATAAAAAGAATTCTGATTCTGATAAATGTAAATAAATGCCCACAAATGTTGTTGAATTTTGAGTGTCTTGGATCATCGCCACTGTCCTTAGAGCCTCCTGCATTGGCAAGGAAAATTTTGAAAGAAAAGTGAGGAACCTTGGGAAGAGCCATACTGTGGGCTCCTGAGGGATGGTTTGGGCTAGAAGATCCAGCACCTCCCAGCTCTCAAGTTTGTGGAATAACGCCAGGTCTCGGGCTGCACCGAGATATCTGGATTGTTTTTTGCCTACCATAATTATAATTGAAAAATACCACAATATGAGGTAAAGTGATATGGACCAAAGATTATATAACGATAACGATATAATTCACATTATAAATGGCACTGAAAACAAAACTGCACTAAACAGTAAGATCTCATGTTATCTCATGATAAAATGTTTTCTAATAAGATAAATACAGTACCTTGCAAAAGTATTCACTGGCTTTTTACTTATTTTGTTACATTACAGCCTTTAATTCAATGGTTTTTTTAATCTGAATTCCATGTGATGGATCAGGAAACAATAGTCTAAGTTGGTGAAGTGAATTGATATTTTTCAGAAATAAAAAACTGGAAATTGGCGTGTGCATATGTATTCACCCCCTTTGTTATGAAGCCCATAAAAAGTTCTGGTGCAACCAATTACCTTCAGAAGTCACATAAATAGTGAAATGATGTCCACCTGTATACAATCTAAGTGTCACATGATCTGTCAGTACATATACACACCTTTTTTGAAAGGCCTCATAGACTTCTCTCCCACTCGCGCTGCTTCAATTGACGGAAGTGAGCGGGAGAGAAATCTTTAGGAGTTAGTGCGCGGACGTAGCGCTCCTCGTATTATTACGCCTCACAATATAGTAGAGGTGCAACGGTTCATCACTGATCCGTGATCCGTTCGGTTCAACGTCTTCGGTTCGGTTCTGATCCGCGGTTTGATTTATGAAAAAAAAAGTTGTGCGCACGTTGTTCAGTCCACACACAGCGCAGTCATTGCGAGCGGAGGAACGGAGATGCTTGAAAGCCCTGCGTCATTTAAATCCCCTGTATGAGAGCATTTTTGGCTGCACTGTAACTATACTCATAATTAATATTCGACAAAACTGTCACGATGTGTAAGCACTGTGGCACAAGAAAGACATGAGTGAAAAAAAGCGTCTCGACGACCGCCTATTGTCGCGGCGTTTAAGCCTCCCCTTTACGCACAGTCAGACCGGGCTAAAGTCCACTCTCCCGCGCATCCTCAGCTGCGCTCACGACTGACGCTTGGACGTCCCGCGGAACCTATAATAGATCCATGAGCGGAACCGCTCACTTCATCACCGCAGACTGGGAGATGAGAAGTCTGCCGCTGCAGACATGCCCCCTCTACGACAGTCACACAGCGCAGGTTCTGACACAAGCAGCGGAGGAATGGAAGACAAAGGCCCAGTACTAATATTCCAGTCACAATTGATAATGCCAAAAATTAAATAAATGCAGTGAATGAGGCTGGACTGGGCCCAAAATGGACCGCCTCCTTGGGAGAATCAGGAAAGTGGTTTAATATGAGGGTAAATACCCTCATAAAGTGCCTTTTTATGTTGCACTTTGTGTTGTTTTTCATTAATTATGTTAAATAGACATAATTGGATGGATGGAATATCCCTTCCATCCATCTATCCATTTCCTTCCCCTTATCCATTTCTAGGTCAGGGGGGGCAGTCAGAGCAGGTGCCGAGTCCACATGAGCTGTGTTTATTAAAAATGAACCGAACCGTGGCCTCTGAACCGAGGTACGAACCGAACCGTGATTTTTTCAAACTGTTGCACCCCTACAATATAGTACCCCTTTTTATCCACTGAGAAAATCGACATGTTACATTTCTGTGTTACTATACTTGGTAGTGTAACAGGTCACGTAACTGTATTTAAATAGGGAACACGTGGAAGAGTTTGGTAGCTTCTAACGGGAGCTGATTTGTTACTATACAGTATGTGGAAGAGTCTGCGTTTGTGCTCCGTTTGCATGACAGAGCGCACGAACATAGACCAGACAGGTACCGACTAGTCTAAAGTAAGGTAAGAACATATGTCAGTATGCAAAAAGGGTGGCCTATTCCTTTAAGAATATTGTCTGTCTCTTTGTGTGTGCTTGTGAACATGTGCCTCCAGCCAGAGTTCAAGTTCAAGTTGTAAAAAAAGATGGCGCCTCGTACGGTCGACATGGCTCTTTGCTGCTCTCTTTTTCTTTTGTTTTTACTTTTTAACTGTGCATCTGGCTGTTCCTACACGCGTGAGGAACTTATGA